TTATTTCTTTTAACGTAATTTGGTTTAAGTTTTCTTCAGCGCTAAAAGACCTTGCATCTACATAATTTTGATGAAATTAAAATTTATTCCTACGCTTTTTTTTTTGTTTGAGAATTAATGAATGAATGAACAAAATATTGTAGCATTAAGATTTGACCTTTATAAACTTTCCATTCATAAATTTTTATTTAAAAATTTTTAAGTGTTTTAAAAAAAGTGAAAGAAAAAACAGTAACTTAATATTGAAATTTATTAAAAATTTAGAGTTATTTCAACATTAGAAGCTCTTTTAAAATATTTTGTGTTGTGCTAGGTTTTAAGTGTTTTTATTATCTAAAAAATAATAGTAAATCCTGCATGTGGATTTTATTTATTTATTTATAAACGTTAATTACAATAAAAAAGTTATAATCAATACAAAAAAAAAATATTCTTTTTAAATTCTAATTTTTTAACAAATTTGATTAAATCTCCCTTCAAATAATTATCTAAATAATGTCTTGAATAAAAATCTTGTTTAAAAAGAATTTATTCTTCCCTTTCCAAAAGAATGCAAAATAAGACTTTAATTTTAATTTTCAAATTTTATTTAATTAAGGTAATTTAATAATTTTTTAAAATTCAAAACACATACAATTCAATTGAATATTATGTACATACATGTATAATCAAATAATATTCAATTAAAGCAAAACTTTAATTTTTATTTTATTAGTAAAAACGTAATTCAATTCTTGCTTAAACCAAAAAAAATGAGAAAAAAGTATCAATAACAAATTAATAGTTGTAGTAAACGAACGAATAAGTTAATAAAATTTTAAAATTTTTACATTATTTATAGTTGTTATATGAGCGCACATATACTAACATACATATGTATTTGTTTTATACACATAAGATAAGTATTTAAAAATTTTTAAAAATAAAAAAAACCACCTTGCATTCCACTTGCTATATAATACTCGTATATAAGTATTATTATATTTTTCTAATAAAATATTTTAAATGAATAGAAAAATCAAAAAATAAAAATATTTTACATAACTATTACTTTTATGAACCTAGAAATTCAATATTGAATTAGTATTATTGTTTTTTGCATATCAAGTTTCGTTTCTCACCAAATTTCTTGTTTTTTTTTTTTAGTTATGATAATGCCGATCTTTTTATGGAAAAATTATTTCAATTGTATACATAAGTAATTTTATGTTTTACAAAGTTTATGAAAAAACCCAAAAAAATAGCTAAATTTAAATAATATTTTTTGAGATGTTTTTGAGGTTTACAATTAATTTACGAGTACTGTGCACTAAATGTGCAGATCTCATTGTATTATTTTTTGTATTGGGATATTGGCATATGGAGAGGAAAAAAATCACCGAATGTAATGTTAAGAATAAATACGCCTATCGCATAGTATTGTGCGATAAAAAAATATTTTATTAGCTGATTTTAATTTTGCTACGGAAGAGAAGAGGTAGCCAAAATAAAAATCAGCTAATCACTGCTCCAAACTTCCAATTAATTGAAAAATGAATTGTCGCCCTTTTACTTTTAAAAAATCTGACAGTAAGGACTTTTTCGATAATTCAGTTCTAACTTAGTTCTGAATGTAAAGCACGTTTGATAAATCGAATCTGCAAAATCTGTAAAAGTAGCATGTTCGATAATGTTCTCGTGCAAAAAAAGCTCGTTCGAAAATACGATTGAGCTTTAAGTTTTTAGGCAATTTTAAAGATTTTTTTTTAATACTGCAATAAAAGTAAAAATTAGTAAAATAGAAAAATGTCGGATATTGAAGAATTAATGGAGTAAATTTATGCAATTTTTGTTTTGTACATTTAATAATTTATGTTTTTCTTTCATAGAGAGCTAGAAAAAAAAAATTTACTACAAAACAAACTTACTACAAAACAATCGCGCTCCATCCTGAAATGTTGAAAAAATATGGTATCCGGCATCAAATTGATTGTTTCTAAGTAATTGGGTACCTTAGGTACAAGGTTGTTTTCGGTTTTTTTTATGTATGTTAGTAACAAATGCTTTCTTCTTCTTTTATTTTCCAGATAAAAACGTATATTACTTTTTTCAATTTTTTCATTAAGTAGATCAATTTCTGATCTGTAACATATTTGCTTAGAATTTTTTTTTGTTCTTCAGACATCTTTCTTTTTTTATTTTTATAAAATTGACAATTTGCAAACAACAAAAAAAAAGCTTGTTAAAAAAAATTATAGACATTTCAGACATGCAAAGATATGTCATTCAGATTGTAGAAGTTTGTAAGTATGCGTAAAAAGCTTTTACAAACCTAAGTTAGATCTTTCAGTACAGAACTGAATTATCGAAAAAGCCCTAAGTCTGATGAGAATAGAAAAATTTCTATTATTTACCTTCGGACTCAATCAGAGTTTGCATATTTGATTTTCATTAAATTTAGATTAAATCGTATAAACAGCATAACTAAGAGTCGAATTTAATAAATCGCTTTAATAAAGAAATTCCAAAACAATAATCCAGACCACTATCTAAAAGTATAAACGTGTTTATTCTTTTTTTATTTTAAATTTATTTTGAATGAAAATTTAAAAAGGTTGAACAAATTTTTTTTTATATTTATAATGTCAAATGTGCAACACATGCATTTAAGTTGTACATAAACTTAAGTATTAAAAAATTCTTGCAAACATGGGTATTTATAAAAAGGAAATTGAAAAATAAAATACAAATATGTAATATATGTAATCCGTTAATGTTATAAAATAAAAATAATGTAACAAACTTTGTTAAAAACAAGAAATCTTATATAAAAAAGTTTTATTCATAAATGTTTCACTTTTTTGTTCATTTACGTTTTTTTTAAATGTAACACTATTTTTGTGTGAACATTACGTATATGCTTATAGAAATTAAAAATTTATGTATACGGCTAATTATTTTTTTTTTTGTATTTACATTCAAACTCCTATTTCTACGTTCTCGACAACAGGTGTTAAATTGCTTTCAAATGTGTTAAATTGCTTTTTAAAGCCAATTTTCAATACCTATAATGTACGTAAAAAAAACAAAACTGAGAATTTAAGGGCCAAATCTCGAAAATTCAAACCTACTATCAATTACCAATTTACACCTGTTGTCAAAAAACAATATTTATTAGTTAGTTGATAAATTAAAACTGTATAGAAATTTGGAATGCTTTATACACACCTTATACATAATCATGTTTGTTGCAACTAAGAAACTATTGATTTAAGTTGCAAAAAATCGAAATTTGAAACTCATCATAACAGTTGCCAACTAAAGTTGAAACAATCAATTATACCTTCAAGTCATTTCTACCTGTCTAATCACCTGTAAGTAAGTGGAAGTTTAATTTATATTAAATTTGGCATTATACCTATACTTATATGTATGTATATGTATATGTATGTAAATTATGTAAATTTAATGTTATGCATATTTCTAAACACTTTTTTTTTATATTTTTTAACATTATTAAACAGAATATTTAGAAACAGTATTTAACACTCTAAAATAATCAGCTCTTAACGTTAATATTGCGGTTCGTGGTATGTTGTACATTTTAACGGTTATACATTAATTGCCGTATAGTCGTGCTTACTAGGTTCAAAGTACATAAGTACATGTAAATACACTTGATCTACTACAATACTTTTATACTACATTTAAAAATTATAAGTTTTGTCTTTTAAATACGCATTATTTTTTTTTTATTTTGTTTATAATAAGAAATCGACCTAAATACTTTAGGTAAGTATTTTATAAAATAAAATTGAAAAGAGTTAACGTTGCGTTTTTTCTTTTTTTATTTTTTTTTTTTTTTCAAAAAAAGGAAAAAGTAAAAGACTACGTCATACATTCTTTTTAATTAATTATTTCTCTGTGATAACGCTATTATGTTTGTATTTTTCATTTCATTTCATTTGATTTGCTTCCGGTTTTAGAAAGAAAGCAAAAATATTATTTTGTTTTCAAAGTGAAAAAATATGTAATGATAACAATTTCATGAAAAAAAATTTAAATACTTGTACGTATTATATGTTTTTATTATATGTTTCAATACATAGAAAGAATATTTCTATATATAATTTATATTATATAGAAATATTAAGTACACTTATACGCACATGTGCACATGTAAAGTAATTTACTAGCGCATTAGTTTTTTTTCCAAAATATAAATTTTTTTGCTTAAAATTATTCATTATTATTGAGCATAAATGCAGTGCCGGATTAACCTTGCTTTGCAAAGAAGGCTCCCAAATCAATTAAAATAAATCAAAAATTTACTTTAATTTTTTTTAATTTCAATATAAAATTAGTACAATGAGAAACTGTAAAGGTTATGAGATTTAAAAAATTACGCCAAATATTTTATTATGATACTTACGATTAAATATGCGATTAAAATTTAATCTGTATCAATAAATTAGACAGATCATTCGTGAACGCATTTTCACCTAAGTATAGAATTTTCTTCCGAATCTGATGGTATTCGAATTTTTTTAAAACTCATACTCTTTAAATACTATTTAATTAAATATTCCTCCTAAGTGACACACACATGTTTTTACCAAAATCATTAATAAATTTATATGTATTGAATTTACTGTAGATTTCCAATCCACATAAAACATGAATAAATAAATGGAAGATATTCTTTAATATTTCAAAAATAAACATCTTATTATTCATTAAATATTAAAGAAAAATGAAATTAATTGTTCTTAAATTAAAGAAAAAATTATTTAGAAAAGATAAAAATAATTTTCTTAATTTTGCACCTCAATATTTTATTTTAAATGACTTTCAAATACCTATATAAAATTAATCTTCTATTCTTATCTTTTTGATTAATTTTAATTTTTGGATAAACCTTATTACAAAAAATATATTTATGTATTTTAAAAGCCAAATATATTAATACATTTTTAAAAAATAATTGATTAATTTTTTCTCTAATTTTATTTATTTTTCAGATAAACATTGCGTAGCATTTTTGTTTTTGTTTTGGAAAATGAATTAGTCTTGCCAACAATTTAAAAAAAATGGCATAATATAAATAAAAAAAATATAACATTAATTTACTTCAAAATAGAAAAACCTAACAAGAAATAGAAAATTGCAACCACATAAAAATTAAAGATTACTAAAATAGATGGCAAACAATTTAAAAATTTACTAAAACTAAAATACATACATACATACTTCAAAAAAACAAATAAATAATTAACGAGGAAAATTCATTTGGAAACACAAATTTAAAGTTTGAAAAAGAATTTTAACTATAAATTTTAAAGATAAATTGCAACTATAAGAAAGATACATACAAAGAAAAAAGGAAATAATATACACAATAAAATTGTAACAGCTGTCAGCAAAAAGAAAAGGTGCAAAAAATATATCACGACTCTAAGGATCAAAAAAAAATGAGATAAAATACTAAGCAACATGAATTTTTAAAAAAAATCCATTGATAGTTGATTTTGAAATTTACGAATTATTTTAACAGTTATATATATTTACATATATACATATATATTGATTATACATAATAATTATTGTTAAAATTTACATTATTGTAATGTAAGAACAAAAGAAAGTAATTTTTAAAAATATTTATTTGAAAGAAAATATAAAATAGATTATTTTTTTTTATTTTAATATTTTTCTTCGTTTACAAATCTGTTCTATTTTATTAACCAACATTTAAAAAAATTTCAAAATAATATTCTTTTGATATTATTATTAACTGGAACTGCTAAAAAAAAAGAATACAAGTATTAAAATTTATTTTTAAACAAAATATTAATTGAAAGAGGTTTCAAACATCTTTACAAGAAGCTCTATTTAATATACAATTTTTGCAGCTATATAAAAGTTTGTTGAAAAAAATATCTTAAATTACAAAAAAAATTCTTGATTGAACAAAATTAAAAAAAAAAATTTAATTTTTTTTTGCGTTTTTTACTTAAATTTTTTTAAAACAGCAACAAAAGAAAACGCAAAAGAGCAGATTTTAAAACGCTTAAAAATATAATTTTAATTAAAATCAAAAAATTACAAAAAAAAAATATATATACATATATAAATATTATAATTGAGTTATACAAAATGGCAAATCAAAATATTATCAATAACAATTTAAAATTGTTATCTTACATTGAGGCACCATTGCAACATGAATAAAAAACTACGAAACAATAATCAGATAGGCCAGCAGCGTCTACTGTTTAGGCGCCCAATAAAAGCGGCCAATAAATCCAATTTCATTGAAATTGGATTTTATATAATATCTGAATGACACTGTTTCTAAATAGTTTTAAGGTAAATATAAATAAATTATTTTTATATTTTATTTTTATATTACATATTAACATAATTTTTAGTTTGTATTTTATATTATCCAAATTGCACTAATATAATTACATGTAATTATTATGATTTGTATTTTAATGCGTATTGTGTACGTTGTTTCTGGCTTTATAAAATACTAACAAAACAATAATATTTAGTTATGCTAAAATATTTGTATATTTTTATTAAATAAATTATGTTTGTCTATAATTAAAGATAAAATTTTGAAATTTTTCAATATGAAACCATAATTTTTATTTTTCTCCATATAATTTTATACACAAAAATTAGGTTACAAAATCATATATTTAAAAAAAATTAATTTTCAATTAGAGAAAAAGTATCTTAAGTGTTAAGTATGTTATTATAAAATTAATATAATTTTATAATAACATTAAATTATTACTTGCAATTCCGTTTTATTCAATTTTATTATTAATTTTAGTTATGTTCATATAAAAATTAAAGACATTCTTATGCAATTTAAAATTTCGTTTTTAACCTAATTTTTTCCCAAGCAAACTTTAGGATTTTGTCAGTATGGTTCTAATAATACATAATTATTCTGTTTGATTTAAAAATAAATCTTATTGCATTAAAAATAAATTTTTAAAATTTAATTTTCATCAGTTTCCAAATAAATATGCATCTTACATTATTTAATAAAGTAAATGTTCAATATAATTGAATTAGATTTCTTTAACGACTAGAAGTAATGCAAGCGATCATATTACTTAAATCCGATTCAGAATATTCAAACACATACCTACATATCTCATGTAATATAAACTTTATTTTCAATATGATTAGCACTCATTTAGATTTTATTAGTGTTATTGAATTATTTTATTAACACGCATGATACACAATCGAATATTCTGTAACGGATGCATGATTCTATGGGGATTAAGTCAAGTTAGAAAAATCAAAAACCTCTCAAAAAAATAAAAAAAAAAAACACAAACTCTAAAAAAAATTTGTTTTATTTAACTATTAGATTATTTTACAAATTTATATACTCGTACAGATATTATATTTTTAATTTTTTCAAAAAAATGTGCTTGTTAAAATTTTTGTTTAATTTCAGTAATTTTAAAATTACTAGATTTATGTAGACTTATTAAGTATACATAGAATTATAATAAAATATATTTTTTAATATCTTTTGCAAAAATGTTTGATTTTCTTATTCAATTAGTATCACAAAATTTAAATAAGTTTAGTTACAATTTATTGGCTTTAATTTTCTTTTATTTTATACATACTTATATTACCATATTTATTTTTTAATTATTATTGACTTTGTCAAACATTTTTGATTTAAAAAAAAAATTCAAAATTTTTCAAAATACCTAATTGTACATGACAAAATATTTTAAAGAATTTCAAAAATTCCCTTTTCATGTAAATAGGTATGAAGTATCCCCAGCTTGTATCAACACGTGCGGTGAACGCCATCTCTGATTGGTTAGTATCACGATTGGAGCAATTAGGCGTTGAGGCACCTCTAATCTATTCTAGACTTCTTTTATCTCTTTTACATTCATCTGTTCAGATAAACGATCCTATTGAGTTCAACAATTTAGAAGTAATTATAATTGAATATATTTTGTTTTTGATCATTTTTTTTTCGATATTTTAAGTTAAACTAACTAAATAAACAAAATGTCTACAATGTTTTTATTTGGCAAAACGAAAACTGGAAAATACATAATATATTTTTTTAATACAATTATCTTAGATAAAAAAAAAATATCAAATTTTTTTAATAAATACAAAAATTTATTTAATAAAAATCTTTTTCTATTTTTTTATACTTAGACATATTTAACTAATCGAAAGGGTCAAAAACGCCATCATCATTATTATCCTCCAACGGATGCAAATACACTAAAAAAATTAACAGCAATTCAATGTCTTACTGAAGCTGTCTCTTCTGAACAAGAGGTAAAAAATTTATTATTAAAATAGAAGAAAATTAAAAATCTATTTAATAAATTTTTCTTTAATATAAAGATATCTAATATTGAAACACTAGTTGATGAATTGTGCGATAAATTGAATGATATAGAAAAGCAACTAGATTCTGATGAAAACGAATATCAAACTATTGGGCAAATATTAAATTTTATAACTGTAGTTGGATCTGCAACCGAAACAAGTGATATTGGAGCTAGTACTAGTGTTTCGCTATCATCTTCGTCATCATCATCATCAAAAGCAACAGAAGCGGATAGCTCTTCTTTTGTTACATCTTCTACAGAAGAATATAGCAAAAGCTATAGTATTCGAAATAAAAATTCTATTAATTTGAATATATTTACTAAACAACGTAATAATAAATCTAATAAAGCTCGTGTTATTATTGATTTAAAAGATATTGAAGATCCTCGAAAACGTTATTATAATGCGTTTCCAGCATTAACTAAAGAGATGGAAGATTCTTTTAGAAATTCTAATCGTTATACCAAAGCACTTACATGGCCAAATGACAAAACAACGTCATTTATTCAACAACGTATTAATAACACTAATATAAATAATAACCTTAATAACAATAATACTAATAATAATAATAATATTAATAATAATAATAATAATCATAATAATAATAATAACAGTAATAATAATAATAATAATAATAATAATAGCAACAACAATAATTATAATAATTCACATAATAGTAGCAAAACTAATAATAATAACATCCACAGTATCAACTATAGTAATAATAATAGCAATAAACACTCTTTTAACACTGATAGTAACTATTTCAATTCTACTAATATTAATAACCAAAATGAAATGTATAATAAAAATAATCACAATTTAAGCAACATTAATACAGCTGGGGTGAAAAGAAAACCAAAACGTCGACGAAATCAAGGTAAACCTTGAAAAAATTTAGGCTAAAATTGTAAATAATTTAATTACTATAATATTTCAGCTTTATCTAAAGGCCGAACGAACAATAATCATCAACGGAAAAGTTCTTATTCAGGAAACTGTTCCCCAACCTGGGATACGGATTTCGAGGGATCGTGGGAAATGGGTCGCGACTTAATAAAAGAATTTATAGTCAGAGAAAATAACCGAAATCGTAGTACATCAGAAAGTGCCGCATATAATGAAGATTTAAGTAATATTAGTAACAAGAAAAGAGATGGTAATGTTGTAAATAACACTATTAATGAAGAAATTAAAAGTGAGAAATTCCAAACTGTGAATGATCGAGAAGAAAATGCTGAAAACATATTTTATGGTTTAACATCAATAAATCATTTAAATAAAAATTCATTTCTGTCGAATTTGTTGCAAAATAAAGAAAACTTGGCAACAAATTTAAATGGTCCAAAATTTCAATATTCAATTTCATCAGATATTATGCAACCCGAAATTTCAAGCACTACAAATGCTAACAATACTCCTTTTGTAAACTCTAATAATTTGAATGTTAATATGGATCAAAATAATTTATTAAGTGATGAGGGATATTCAACTCATGAAAATTTAACTTCATTATCAGAGTTAGATACTAGTGGCATGGAAAACATTGACACTGAGAAACAGTTTAAAATAAAAAATGATCCTCGTTTGAGTTCTGCGCAACGTCGCTTGTACGAAAGAGATATGATAATTGATAATAATGATGACTCTTCAATGAGTTTTTGTTCTAATATCGAGCAGCAACAGTATGATTTTGCACAATTTAAAGCGAAATTTAATAGCAGTGTTGAGGCATTATGGAGAAACAACGCCGATCAAAATGACAATTCCAATTTTTCAGGCACATCAGAGGAATTAAGATCCTTACCATCAGTGCAACAAAATCAGGGCTTAAATAGTTTTTGGACAAATTACTATAATCATCGTTATGATAATAATAAATTTGAAAACATAAACGAGGAAAATCAATCAGAAAATATTGAACAAAGAGATTTTTTATCTATGCCAAACCAAAATAATGTAATAACAGTTTCAAAACAGACTCCGTCTTTATTTTTACAAGATTCCATTTGGTCAGACTCATCAAAAAATTATGATGATGACGAAAGCTTTTATGCTGGTGTTAAAAAGTCCATGCAATATAAAAATTTTAAGGTAATTCAATAAAAATCAAGGAAATAGTTTTTTTTTGTAAATATACATAATAGGTTTTTTGGAATAGTTGTTTTTTTCTTTTTTTTTTTTTTTTTGAGGTTTATAAAGAATTTTGTATTGCTTTTGCTGTCTTGTAATATTAATTCTGTTTAAATTAAATAAAAATTGGGAAATTTATAAAGAATAAATATATTTTTTGTAGGAAAAAAGTATTTGTGAAAATTATCCCCATGATATTACAAAATGTCAAGAAGGTATTAACGAAATTACTTTTGAAGAGCAGCCTACAAATTCTGTGGATCATCAAAATTCGATTTCTAATTTGAATTATGGGGCTAGAGAAATGGTATTGCACAACCTCTATAATATTGCACCTAATAATCTACAACAAAATGATGCTACAAACTATGTGCAACCTTATATAAGCGAAGCATATAACGAAGAAATTTCTTCTTATAATAAGCACCCACAACAGACGTTTCAGCAAATAAGCCTTAAAGAAAATGAAAGTTTTATCAATGATCAGTACAGAAAATATAAAGATCGTTTCAAGTCAATATCACCACCCATAACGTTAGAAAATCATGCAAAGAGCAGTGCATTTATTGAGTATTCGAGAATTAAAAACCAAAATATTGACAATTCTCCGCAATCTAATTATCAAGAAGCCCATTTTGATAAAAATATGCTGTCCAAAACCTACGTGCCAACTTATACTGAAGATGAAAATTTGCTCACATCTGACCGCACACATTTTCGACCAATTAAACAAACCTATGTAGACGGATATGTATTTGACATATGCAATTATTTAGACGAAATCGAATATGAGAGGTCACATAGTGGATTTTTGTGCTATGACGGGGAAAAGTTTTTAGAATTCAATAAATTTGAAGGTGGTGCAGTTTTGTGTGAAGGTGATAAACATTCTCTAAACGAAAAAGTACAAGGTGCGCAAAATTCAAAATATTCTAGCAAAAATATTGTAACAAAGAAGTACGAAGAATTTGTCTTAAAATTTCGTATAAACAACAAAAATGAAAAATATTGTCAAACTGATCCACCACCACGAAGTCCACATGAAATGTCTTTGGAAAACATTACAGATTTGCAAAATCTTAGGATTAAAAATTTCAATGAAAACTATTATAGTCATTTTATTAGCGAATCAGAAAGTGAAAATGCCTCAAATTATTGTTGTTTCGAAGAAGAAAATAGAAGCTCTACCAGTACTGAAGATTATGAAAAATTTGATAATTCATTTGTTTATAGCTCATCAAACAACAATGGTACAATAGAATCAGCAAAAGCAGCAGCAGCAGTTATAATGGCAGCAGTTGCCAATAACAACAATCAGTTTGCTTCAAGTAAAAAATTACCAAACTGGTCCATGTTTGACATACGTCAAAAATGTTCGGCTAATATGGATCTAAATAAGTATAAGTCAATTGGAAATAACAACGATAACCATACTCTATGGGGCTCATGTGCAGCCTGTAATTTCAATCAAGAATTAGAGTCATTTCCGGCAAATCGCTTACTTAAAGATGAATTAAAAATTGAAGGCGATGAAATAATGTCTGACTTAAAATATATGCAAGATTTGTTTATTGGAAGTGATTGGGAAGAAGGAACATGTAGTAGTAGCGGAGGCGATAGCGATAATTTAGCTAGTGACATCGTTGAAACAGATTTCGAAATTGTCGGTAGTTCCGATAAAAATAAAAAATCGAAAAACAAAAAACTGTTATTTTCAAATGAAAATAATTTTTTATGTAACGAATCCGTTAAAAGCAATAATATGGAAAACATCCCATTTAAAGACGAAATGCAAACCGATTTATATTATAATGTTACAAAACTTATAGCTGATTTATTAAGACCAGAAAATGCAAAATCCTTGGCAAATGCTCTTGGTGAAGCAGCTATTCAAGCTGCTAATGTTCATGCAAAAATAAATAATAAAAATAATACACACAAGGAATATAAACGAAATGATACGGAGATTGAAAGTTTTTGCGGTGGTTTATTAACCAATGATGAGCAGATAATCTGGAAACATAATGAGCTGAAGCCTCTGGATAAATATTTAACACGATTTAATAGCAGCAGCAACAACAATAACAATTTACTTGATGCAAATGATTCCTCTGGGAAACTAAAATGGGAACACTCAAACTTAGCTGATATCTGGAAACAGGAACTTAAGACAAGCTCCAAACAAAATTTTCCAGGCAAAACTGAAGCTCAGTATAAAAAGGAAAATTTCGAATTTGAGCATTTAAAACATATCAGATACGGTAGCGATAATAATTGCAAATCTTCTAAAACATATTTTAAAAATAATGAAAATGAAAATCTGCCCAAGACTTATTCTAACAATATGAATCAAAAAGTTGGAACATCAAACATATCTGAAAATAGCAACATTCTCAAAGAAACTAACACGGGTAAGTTATTAAACATAAGTGAAATGAAAAAAAAACCGTTAATTATTTAGCACCTATTTCCATTAATATTTTTTTTAGAAAATGCAGAATCTTTAAAAAATGAATCTTCGACACCATTTAATATAAATAGTAATCCTTACTTCGGATTTACAAGAAAAAATAATCGTATCGATCGTAAACGTCGTCATTCAGCTTCACAAATGGTAACAAGTTCTTGCAATAAGGAAATATCTTCAATTATACCGAATGAAGGCCAAAATTTTTCCGAAATCGTGATATCGTCGACTAACAACAATAATATATCTAGCGACGTTTTCTCAAAAGGTTCATCAAATATAAACGAAAACCCAAGCAATACCACCATCAATAATATTATTGGTAATGGAAAAGAAAATTTAAAATTTGAAATAAGTAACAATTGCAGAAATTTTCTACATAATTACCAAAATATTATTGGTGGTGGTGATTCAAAAAAAGAAAAGAAACATTTCAATTTTTATGAAAACTTTATACTTGGTGGGAATAAAATCGAATTGATGGGAAAAGATTTGTTAATCAAAGCTAAGTTGAATGATTATGTTGTTAATATGAGTGATGATAATGATGAAACGAAAGTCACATCAACTACAACATCAAACGATACAACAGCATCATCAACAAGTGGTGCAACAATAATTTCTTGCAATTTATGGGCCCTAAACACTAAACTGGATATGGCTAAGGATTTTGATTCAAATGATTCAGCTTTTTGGCAGAAAAATATTGGTTATTTAGATTATGGCTACAATAATGTTGATGATATATCTTCTATTAGTCCTTCATCGATTTTAAAACATGTTGCATTGGTTTCTCGACCCTTAACTCGTTAAATTGAAAAGTAAATTAATAAAACAAAAAGCAAAACACAAAAAAAAAAAAAAACGAAAAAAATTAATAATTAATCCTTTTATTGTTTTGTTATGTTAACTTTTTTTGTTTCTTTAAAGTACAGTTCGTTTCAATTTTTATTACTGTTATATTCTTCTTTAGTATCCATAATTTACATATTAACTAAAAAAAAACTTATTTGAAATTTTCAAAATATTTAAATTTAGAAAGTTTTTTCGTTTTATATGCTACTGATAATGTATTTTGGGTCAAATTTGCGATTAAATACAAGAAAAAGTATTTCGAAAGCTCAATGCTTTATAATATAACTCCGAAACTTTGAATGACTCATTTAAAAATTTAAATGTAGAGTCTAGAAAATCGCAATTTTGCGTTAATATATTTAGCGTTCGAAATACATTATCAATAATATTAAAAAATTACATATGTATGTATTGGTTTAAATATTTTATTTCATAAAGTTATTCGAAATAACAGTAGTTTGGTGACTAAACTGTTAAATAATTTTTTAAAATAATGTTTACAAAATAACCTGTTTAAAAATGTTTCAAATATTGTGCTTTTTCGGTATTTTAAGTTTGTATTAAATATTGTATAAAATAATTTTACTTTGTATAATAGCAAAATTATGTTATGTACAAACTTTGAAATCCGAATTTTTTATCACATTTTTTCAAACAAACTTATACTACTGCCTAAAACAAAAAGAACTAAATCTACATAATTAAATTCAAACACAAAAGTTTTTCAGGTTTTTAACTCTTAATAAATTATAGTTTGAAAATAAGAAGAAAAACTAAAACAAAGACTATAATGATACAATATTTTGTTTAAAGTTTATATTTAATACATTGCATATTAAGTTCGTTCACTTTAAAAACCGAAAAATAAATTAAAATACCGAAAAAGCCTATCATTTCAAATATTCTAAATAATTAAATCCAATATATATGATTATAAGTCTACATTTTAAATTCTAAATGTTTTGTAACATTCAAGTTAAATTTTACGTATAATGTAAAAATTACATTTCTAAAACAAAAACAAAGTAGAACAAGTTAAAGTATATTTTTTAAATAAATTTAAAAATTCAAATATAAATTTTAATTTCAATCAATTCTTTTTTTCTTTTTAGTAATTAGGAATAAAATTCCTTCATAAATACTTGGTATTTACCAAACCAAAAAAAAAAAATATTTAAAAAAGTTTAAGAAAAGCATATATATTTCTTTTTTATGTAATAAATATATATATTTATAAAAACAAAAAATAAAAAAAATAATACATATTTCATATATAAATAAGTGAATAATGATGAAATTATAATTTTTCATTTTGAGTAATATATTATTTGCAAACACACAATTATTCAATTTAACGATTTATTAAAGTTGATGAATTTATTTATTCCAATTAGTCACTAAGCCGAATAGAGCCTTTTTTAAAGTAAATTTTTGGTGTTATAATTCTTATCTAATACTTTTTCCTGATAACTTAAATAGTGCAATTATAAAGAACTTTACAGTGCATTCACTTTTTATTGCATAAAGCTAAGTACCCTTTTTTTAATTAGAAATAAGGAAATATACTATTGGATAAGTCTTCTATACTGCGTAACAGCATTTTATAGAATTTGTTATTTATTTTTTAAATAATAACACAAGTACTACAGATTAACAAGCACCTAATTTGAAATTTTAATAAATTTATATTGTTTTTCAATCAATATTTAGAACTTTGCTCTGTCATTTGTAAATTTTCACTTTTATCTTTATAAATTCATTAACGGTAATAAATAAGTTAACAAGTTTTCTTTTTTATTTTCGTTGCGTTTTATTATTTTTTTTCCTGTTGTGTTTAGATGTATTTAAAATAGAACAAAAATGAAAAATATTAACATTATGTATGTATGTATATAAAAAATTTAATGTGTTTCAGAATAAAATTTATCAAGAGATTTGGGAAAAAAAAAAAATTTTTTTTGTTTTTGTTATTTTGAGAACAAGAAAATGTTAAAAACATTCAACCTCCGATTGTTATTAATTGTGTTGTTTGTATTTAAATTAATTTTTGCTTTGTAATTGATTATTTTTAAGTATTTTAGTTATTAATTTAATTATGTCGTTGATGTTTACCTTTTCTTTTTTTTGCTTTATTAAATTTACTCCTAACGTTTAGTTTTGGAGAGTAATCAACTTTTAGAAAGTTCGAAAAATTATAAAAAAAATAATTTTAAGTGTTTAGAAAATTTTAAATTGATAAAAGTATATTTTTGATATATTTTTCATGAGTTTTGTTAACGTGAATGAATCAAAAAGCTTATTTCAAATTCAAAAATCGCAAATCTTTAGAATTCTGATTTGACAGTTTGTTACGTTTTTGAAAAAATTAAAATTTCAAGTGTTTAACATGTTTCTGATACACATCAGTTTATTTAGATATTAAAATAAATTGCAGTTTATTAAAATATTGCATAATTTAGTATAAAGCTGCATTACGTATTACAGAAGCTTTATTGGGATCAAAACGACTAAATACTAGAAATATTGACCAGCAAATACAAGTTTTAAAATGTAAATGTGTTTTATATTTCTTTTTACAAAATGCAAATATAAGAAATAAAAAAAAAATTACGTAGAATTGTGGGACGATTCCTTTATTCACATTGTAAACCCAATATAATATAATATTTAAAAAAAAAAGGAAAAAATAAACATCATGACTAAAATATAAAGTGCAATCATAGATCTGTGTATAAATATTTAAGGTATTAATTGAAATACTACTAAACCAATCACACACATTCTACTGTTTTTATTTATTTGTTGAAAAGTTTTTCTTATTTATTTTATAATTTCTGTTTAACAACGAAAATTTTGTTTCTTATTTTCTGTGCTTTCTTCAAGAAACAGTTCTTTTTTTTCAATTAATACAAAATCTTTTATACATTATCTTGTATATATTATTATATATATGGCTATATATAAATTACAAATAGTAAATACATTTTAGATAATATTTTAATTTTATTGAATATAATAATTTCTACGATTAAAATATTCAATAGATTTATTTATTTAAAAAAAAATATAGCTTAGGATTAATAAAATTAGTATTACTTCACTGGTGGTATCATCTATTTAAAATTTACGTAATAAGCCTACAAAATTCGTGTTCTTATATTTTCGTTTTTATGGCAGTAAATTTATACACTCTATCAAATAAGCACTTCAAACAATTTATTATTTTTATTATTTTTGCTTTAAAGCCACCATAATTTTAACAAATGTAAAATATAAAAAAATTAATTTAAGAAATCTTAAGGAAAACAGTGAAATATAAAAAAAATGTTATAAAATTTGGAGTGCAGATTGCAGCAGCATGTTAATATTTAAGTAACATTGAAAAAATTTTCATTAAAATTTATCAAAAAAAAAATTTATTAAAATATAATATAATTCTTAAATATATACATATTAAAAATGAATATTAAATAATTTTAATTCATAGCTAGTAATATTCAATATATAAATTAAAGAAATTTGTTCATACACAATATGATTTGTAAGTTTCATGCTCTTAAAATACGAAAAATTGATTTTGAAATTCATATTCAAATGAATTTTTTTAAAAAGGACTATTGTTTTTTTTTCTTTTAGCATTGTTTCGATATGAAATTTTATAACTTGAATATTATGTTTTACCGTACTCTCACATTAAAATTTGATTAAATACTGCACTACAGTACTACACATTATAATATGTTATATTAGTGAGAACTTAAGTTTAATTTAAAGAATAAATTAATGTGGTATAAGATTTCAATTTAAATTAAGAAATTTCCAAGGTAATTTTAATGAGAGCTAACCTCAGAATTTTATTTGAATTTTGTTTTCTCTTAAATATCTTTAATATTATAGTGCTTTTGTACATTTTTGTTTTACCATAATATTTCCTTTGTATTACATATTCCTTCTTGGCATATTAGTAATTCTTATATTAATAAAACCAATAATTTTTATTTACATACTAAAAGTTTATTGTGAAAATTTATAAAAAAATATTCAAGATAAGAAAAATATTAATGTTATTATACAAATATGTTAAATAATTTTTTCCCTTTTGCTAATTTAATTCAAATTAATTTCAGTTCTTTTAAATCTTCCAAAAAATAAAATATTTTAAATACAAATCTTTGATAAAGAGGTAATCTAATAAAAATGTAATTAAAATTATTTTGAAATTAACTATTGTAAAGTAAAATGTAAAATGTAAAATTTGCAAAATTTTTCTAATTTTTTCTAAATATTTAATTTAACTTAATTTTTAAACACACATTTCTGAAAAAAAAATTGAAACAGAGATAGTGTTAACGATCGCTAATTTTTTTTTCCAAGTTTTACGATTAGTAACACATTTCATTATTTACAGGTGACAGCTTTTGCAAATCTAATTTTCGACTTGGGCGATTAATGAAAAATGTCAAGTATGTACTTACATATTATTTAAAAAAAAGAAAATTCTTCATATTCCGTGATTAATATCATATGATTTCAAATCTCAAAGTTGATTTTATTCTGAAAATTTCAACTTTTTTGCTTAATATTTCGTTACCTCAAGTGATGCGCCCAAGGGAATATAGGTGAATAAATTTGAATCTCTAAAGTCTTAGATTTAAAATAATTGAAAAAAAAATTTGTATTTAAAATTATTTATTTTTTTTTATATATGTATATATAATATGTTTTATAATATAATAGTAATAAATTTCATACAATCTATTAACTTTCACAATCTTTATCTGCACATTTAGTTAAAACTAAAATAATTGAAATGTGTAAAAGAAAAGCAAAAGAAAACTTGAATTTTTGCTTATTAATGAAGTAAAAAAGAAAAACTAATATAAAAATAGATTTAAAATATTTAAGCTAAGTAGAAATATATCTGTAATGATAACGTTATAATATAATAATAAATATATAATAATTCATACTTTATAATTTTCAATTTAAAAAGAAGTATATTCATTAAATTTAAAGTATATTCATATGTAATTTCATAATTTATGATATTTTCTAAAAAAATAAATTATGGAACTATTTTTAAATAAAATTCAAAAAAAAAAATTGAACTACAGATATGAAAATGATATTGTATATAAATGTGTACATAGATAAAATATTATTTATTAAGTTTTATCTTTTTATAGTTTTTTGTCTTTATTTTTTTGTCTAAATTTAAAAAATGGGAGATTCTTTGTATATTTATTTCCAAAAAAAGTAATCTCCTAATAAAAAAATACAGTTCGTATATATATTTAATAAGTGTGTAAATACATAAAAATACTGTGTACATTATACATACATTAAATCTAGTATGCGTGTATTATAAATTATATTTATAAATTATATATTATAACATAAGAAAGAATATAATGTATATTTCAAAAAAAAGTAGTTAAAAAGGAATTATTAAATTTAAATTTCCCGAAATTATTATTGATAAATGCTTTTTGAGTTAAAATTAACAAAAAAAAATAATTTTTGAAAAATAAAAGGAGGAAGAAAATAAAGCAAAAAAAAATACAGAATATAAGATTACCATGTAAATAATGTTAATTAAAGTAAAATCATTAAAAAAAAAAACAAAAAAAAAAGCAAAATATATATATATATATAATAAATGAAATATTATTAATATAATACAAAAAAACATTATGAAAGTAAAAAATCTAAAACAATTTTTAATTTTCTGTTCTTACTAAATATTTTATATTTAAACGCTGTTCGACTATTTTAAAATTTTTAAAGTAAAACATTAAGACAAAAGGATATCTTGATATGAACTGGCGTAAAATAAATACATTAAAAAGAATTTTGAGTAAATAAAAATTTGTCAATATTAAAACAAACTTGGCTTGAATTGCAGTGTAATAATGCTTTAGCATTTTGGCACAAAAGAAGTAACATATATTTATATTTTGTAAATTAAATTTAGAAATTTCACGATTTTTTGTTTCTGAAATTCTTTTGAAATAAGAAATCACTATATTTATTGCTTTTCTAAATAGGAAGGTTATGAAGACGTTTTAAAATAAAGTATCATGTATTGTATAATCAACCGAGAGAGAAAATATGAAAAAAAACACATATTTGAGAAAAAAAAAATGTTTAAATATATTACAATTTGCTAAAAGCTATCGCATTAGTACATAAATAATATACTTAACTAAGCCTTCACTAAATATAAAACATAAATTTGTTAGACAAAAAAAAATTTCATTATTCTTTTCGCATTATTATTGCTTCAATTATTTATTTTTTCTTTCCAAAACTAAAAAAAAACTTCTAATAAAAATTTGATTAAGGAGTCACATTCAATTTTACTTTTTTATATTGCAAAATAATAGTAAAAAATTGAAAAAACGCGTTATAAAACAAATATTTTAAATCAAACACTCATTAAAAATTAAATACGAGAAAAAAAAAGAAAAATATCACTTTGAGTACTTAAAAACATAAAAAGAAATTAAAGTGAAAAAAAAAATCATTAGCAAAAAATATAAAGAAATAAACATACTTTTATATTATTCAAAATTTACTTTTTCCAAAATAAATAATTATTTCTTATCATAATATCAATATTAATTTTAATTGTTGAAATTCCATTAAAGCACCAGCTACTGACGCTATGGGTTCGAAATTCATTGTTCAGTATGATTTTAATATCCCAAAATGTCGAATGTGAACTCCTTTATGAAGCACAAGAAACAATTTCGCAAAATATTCATAAAAAATGTAACAACTTATAGTGGAACAGTGGAAATTAACTTAAGTTAAAATACAAAGAAAAATAAAATAAAATTAGTTAAACAAGAAAAAAAACGGAATAGGAAGGTGTTTTGTGCCTTTTATATAAACTAAATAACAAAAAAAAAAGAAAAAAAAAACAAAAAAAATATGAATAAATTTATATAATATATAAAAAATATAACTATTGCAAAAAAGTAATTATATATATATATATATATGTAATTATAGGATTATAATTTATGATATAAGAAATAAAACTTTCTTGCATTTGAATGATCATCAAAAAAAAATCTCAGTGGCGACCATACAATAAAAAATATTTTTTTTTTTTGTTTTAAAAATTTAAATCTTGTTTAATGAAATGGATTAATGTAAATTAGAAAATAAACATTTAGTATAAATGTTAATTAATAATTCTATCAAAGATATTTTCAATACAAGATGTTAAGAATTTAAAAAACAGAAAGCCTATGATCGCCATTATCCTTTAAATGCTTTAAAGTAACAAAAAAAAAACACTATTTCAAAAACCATAAAAAATCACACAAAAAAAAATATTTAAATTACATAATTGCCAAAATAATCTGTCTACAAAATAAAAAAAAAAAAAAAGAAATTGAAAAAAAGAGAGTTGTAAATTTCAAATTTACAAAAAAAAAATGTATTAAAAAAAAAGCAACGGCAACACTCATAAGAATATATAAGCAATACTGTCCGTTTTAAATTCTTTTTGAGAAAATTTGCATAAGCAGATAATAGTTAATATTTTAATATATATTTATGTATGTATATATGTTCCATAACCTATATATGTATGTATATGTGTATTTGTCCTTAATTTTTAGCACTAGCTATTTATTATTAAATAAAAAATATAATTAACGCATTGTACATATTTTGAAATTTTTTTAATATTTCTTTTTTTTGAGTGTTGCCAAAAATCTATAATTCTGTTTTAATTTTCCATCTACATATTTTAAAATTTTGGATAAAATTGACAAGAAAATTAATTATTTTGCATAATAACTCCAAAATAAAAAATTTATTTATAATGTCAATGAATCAAAAATGTTAAATAGAAAAAGAATGAAAACTTTGAAACCAAAAGAAAAAATGAAAGAACTATAAACATGGAAGCATAAATCCAACATGCTTACTTTAGTAAATTTTTCTCAGTGTAAAACAAAAAATAAAATTTAGAAAATCTTTTAAATATAATATACAAAAATACAATATATTTTGTTACTATTTATATTTTATTTGGTAACGAAAAAAAAAATAAAAAGATGTTAAAAAGAATATTGTTCAAAAACAAAATATTTACATTTTTTAAATTTTTTTTGTTGATTTTTTTTAATTTAAATATACGTCAAATATGCGCTGAGAAAATCATGTGTTTTATTGTTTGTTTTATACTTACATTATGCATATACAATATTTTTGGGGCCGAATTTTTTCTACAACCGTGCCAATTTAAAGTAACCATTAAATGTTGGAGATACAATGCAGCTTGCTTTTTGCAGCTGTTCTCATAAAGAATTTTGCAGACAAGCTGGCTCACTTGACCAATTGCTTAAAGCGTTCAAAACGCAAAAACATTAAAGCAAATTTTCATATATGATTCGGCGCGTATGAAACTCATCTGCTACGATTCTTTAGGTCACTCCCGCACCGTTTCTTGTTCCACACGAGTTGTTATTTGCCTACGAAAACTGTGCCTTTGTTGTTTTTAGCTAGCACGTAAAATTATTTCAAGTTAGAAAAAATCAAATAGAAAAACGTAAGAGATGCATATCTGAATTATCAAAAATCCTTTTCATCTTCTTATATAAACAGTGCATTCAAAAATTTTACGTACCTGAGTTGCAATAAACGGAGTACGAAAATTATTTTCTTATTTAAGAGTTTCTAGTATAGCAGATTCTCTAAGACGAAGACATTTCAGCCATCAATAAATAACTAAGCTGTTTAACGACTTGTATTAAGTGCAAGGTTGTACATACATATTAATTTGCTATTTTGGGCAATTACCATAAATTCCCGAGCAAAGGTTAATTTAAAAAAACTTACTTTTTTTGCAATTAAATGTCTAATCGATATGCTGTTGCAAAATGGAAGGAAGAACTTTAAGGAATCTGAAAGAATTATAAAGAATAATTTGTGCGCCGAATGGGGGTACCTATTGCCAGAAGAAAGTTACACCTACATTTTTTAGAACTATCATTTTGTCAACATTCAAAATAGAAATTAGTACGTATATGTATATATATGTATATGTATGTATGTAAGTATGAATGTGCATAGATCCAGTAGATGTAATATTAACATCTGCAAAGTTTTCATAAATTAAATGTAAAATTTGTGGAATGCAGTGAGCGTGACTATAGTAAAATAGTCTATTGAAAAACATACATACCAAATATAACAATAAAAAAATATATATGTAAATACATCATAGGTAATTACATAAAAAATTCTAGGGTTTTCTGTCAGAACATGATATCTACATTTTTGCTATTTCGAGTAAAGCACCATTGAAATTTTTTTGCTTTTTTGGATTATTTTTGTTTTATTAAAGCATTAACGAGTCAAAGTTTACCGAAGATGGTTTAAAAAGTTAGAATTTTACTACAAATGTTACTACTAATACTTATTACATAATATTAACATTTTAACATATGTATTTATCTATATCAAATAAGATATACACTTTTTAAAAGAGCAATTAGTATCAATCAAAACTGAATAAGTTCACGTATCTAGTTTTGAATATTTGTAAACGTGTGTTTCACTTATGTGAAATGGAAATAAACGACATGAACATTTATATATGAAATGTAAAAATGGTTATGTGCAGATGTGTCATTTTCAACTTGAAACGAAACGGTAAAAAGGTAGAATAAATTTTGATTTCAAAAGTGTAGACCTTGACATATCTATATTTTAATGCCTGCTTAGAAAATTTTATGATCTCGAGAAGTGAATAACTGTTGATACCTAATTTTTTCAGAAAAAATTTTGGAACAATTGGTTAGTTATAATGTTCTTCAAGGTTTTTTTTTTAAAACTACTGGAAAAATTAAATTTTTTTTTGAGTTAGAAAGTGCTTAAAATTTTAAGTAATACTGCATTCATAACAGGCCTTTTCATAAACACAGTATATCGCGATATATAGCAAGAACTGCGCTGTATTTGTGTTCATAAACAAATGTTGCTAATATAGTTTGTTCATAAACATTGTTAATCTATCACAAAAATATTTAAATTATCATGGTGAGCGCAGTTAAATCAGTTGTACTTTTTGTTTACTAGTTTTTGCAGTTTGGTTTTACATTTTTAATTGTTAACTGTTGTACTTAAATATAACAAAATTTCCTTTTGTTTCAGCTTTCCTTTTTTGTTTTTCTTAATTTTTATTTTTCCTGAAATAGAATTTTTCACTATTTGGCCTAAAATAAATGATTGTTTTTCTTTAACGACATTTTTTATTCATTAACACAATACTGCAAATTCAAAATAGCAAAAATTTTTATACAACACTGTTAAAAATATAATGTGTAAGTATCACATTATTGTTTTGCAGTATTGAGTTTATGAAATTGCCTAACTTTTTTTGTCAAAAATGTATACATATATCATGTTCTGACAGAAAACTAGAATTATAAAGTATAAAAATATACTCAGGAAAATTATATAAGCGCAAATTTATTGTTATAAGTATCTTCTGGGTAAAATTATCATTATGTATGTATGTATATGTGTGTACGCATGTATGTACATACATAATTTCGTTCTTCATACATAAACATTACTGGTTATAAATATTTAAAGCTAAAGAAAATTAATAAAATATAAGTTATGTTAACACATTTTAATAAAAAACTGTGAAAAAAAAACAATGTTAGCATATTAGACCCCATACGCTTTACAGATTGGTTTCTTAAGTTCTAATAGATTAATTCTATTACCAAATTTAGCCAATACATTGAATTGCATTGGCTCCAACTATTATTTCTAATAAATCATATTGATCTAAATGGGAATTAAATTTGAGTTTATTTACACTGAACCAAATGAAAATCAAACGTTTTTAATAATCTTATTTATTTAATTCTATAAAACTAACTAACAATGATAAATTATTTTATTTTTTTGAATAGGAAAACGCCACTCCCCCAATAAGAGCCTGAAAATATCAATAACGTAAATAAGTATCTGTATAAATTTACTTTTTAAATATATGTATGTATGTACGTCGGTATTAGCATATGTATTATATGCTGATGTGGAATACTAAAATTCAAAATAACGAAAATCTACTAAATTGCTCTGTAATTCAGATTATTGGCTATTATTTCTGAGAAATTAAGGATTAAAATGTTTATTCAAATTCAAAGCAATTTTTTCAAAATATTACAGCGTCTAGTTGTTATTTTTTTATGTAATTTAAAATGCATTGTTTTGAGTGGGTCTACATTTATGGGTAGACCTCGCAAATCAAATATACATATGTACATACATACATGGTATGTATGTATAGACATTCCTTATTTATTTTTTACTTTTGTTCTATTTTATAATTTTTATATTCTATTGTTTCAGAAAAAGCAGTTAAATCTTTAAAAGTAACGGAAAAATTCAATCAAGTATGCACAATTTATTAATGCATAATTGATTGACCCGTTAGGTTTTGTTGATAAACAGGTAAGAATTTGTAAATTTTCTAAAGGAAATTCAAAGCACAATCTAGCAATTTTATCGACTTATTCGGACATGAAGTTACTCTACATGAAATTAAAAAAACAATTATTACCAAAACAGTAAACCCTTGTGCTAATATGCGCGTTCTCATCATTACCTGCGACATTCGCCGATCACCCTTCCGGAAGCTATATAAACCAAAAGTTAATGCTCCCGCTGTTGCTAAACAACCTGAAAAGCAATATTAAAGTCAAATATTTAAGAGTTATATAATATTTTATATTGCCTATAGGCACAAGAGGATTTTCTTTCATTTTGCGAATCATCTTCTCCTTCGTTGTTTCAGGGAGCTCTCCAATTTCCCCAAAGGTTTTCTTTACTTGAATCCATTCCAAATCGGTATCTGAATCTACTTTTGTTGTAGCTTCAACCATTTTGTTTCTTCGTTTTGTTTTATAAATAAAAAATGTTCTTTTAAATCCTAACTAAAATTACTGTCTTATAATAATTGAACTCTTAATGAGTTAAATGTGTAAATAAATATTCATATAAAATGTCAATTTCATAATATCATCAGCTGACTTTTCTATGTAATTTTTCAACAGTTTTTGAATTTAAAGTATGTAGAGTAGCCATAACATCTTTATAAAATGCCCACTTTTCGATATGTTATGTCAATAAGTAACAACGTAAGAGTATAATTGCAAGGCAGTATGTAAAGTATAAAAAAAAATAAAACAAGACAGTATAAAAAAATTTTCAACTATATAAAAAAAATTGGAAAACCTAATCCCGTATAAAAAATTTGCTATACTCTCAAATATTTGTTTTTGTAAAACTTTAGTTTCTACAGTTTCTAAGTTTTCACCAAGTCACTTTGGAAGCTATGTAATACCTTCATAACAAGCCATAAGCTACCATATGAATCGATGCAATTTAAACTACTTTAAATTTTTGAAGCTGTGTAAGAGTTTCCCCAATGCTTATAAAAACATATACTTGCATCTATATCTTGGACAGTTATTTCTAAGCGTTAAAAACGGAGTGGCAGATTTTTAATACTCTCCCATACGTACTTTCGTATGGATGGGTAGAGTACAGCGTGGCCACTTGGATACAATCTGCTAAAATGCCGAAGCTAACTACATTTGAAAATTTTGCTGAAATATGGTTACATTTTCTTCTCAAACACTAAATTTCAAAATTATTACAAAATTGTTAAAATGCTGCTAATATTAAATCTCGAAATTGCTATATCTTCACAAAATGTTATTTACTGCCTTTTCTAAGCAGATTTCCGAATTTATTAAAAGAAAGTAAGAAACATACTTTGTTAAATGAGTATTGTCTCTTCCTGCATTCAAGTTTAGAACATTTAGACAAGAACGTGCCAGAAATATTTTTTAAAATTTTAAACCAACCTTAACTTTTACATTTTTAAGAAATCTGACCTTAACTTTTAAAATGTAAGGAATCGTATGCGATTTCTTAAAGAATTTGCTATAAATAACAAAATTCACATACTTGAATAAAGCAAATTAATATTGTGTTAATTTGGATATTGTGATACATTTTGGATACATTTTTTCTCGAAGTTAGACAAATTTTGTTTTTACCGAGTGGGAACTTGAATTTAAAATAAATGTGCTACAAAAAACTGATAAACTTTTAGTGAAAAAACATGTTTACGGGAAAAAGCTTTAACGGTGCCTGACAAATTGACTTGCAGCACAATATCCATGTGAGATGAAATTTGTTACATATTCCATATTCATTACATAAGAAATTATGCTACATATTACATTCCCAAAAAAAGTTAAAAAATTTCTTGGAAACTCAGACAATACTCAGCTGAAAAGAAATATAAAAGTAGATTGTCAAATTACTTGAGTATTTATTTCGTTAAAAAATTTTTGACTTTTGATTACTTTTGAAAACTTATATTTTTTTATTACTGCCATCTGTTGAGTAGGCATATACAAAAGCATGAATATTTCCTTAGAACTTCAGAAAAGAAAAATAATACTTTTTTCTTAAAAAATTTTAAACATTTTCTACATTGAGTTTATATGGAATAAAATATTTTTTTTATATGAGCACTATGCTAAGTCAAAAATTTTTAAGTTCACTTAAAAAAAAATCCAAAATTAAATTGACAGATTAATGAACTAAATAATTTACTTAAAAGTTAATTATAAATCAGTTAGCAAAAATTAGTAAGTTCTTTTCAAGACGAATTATGTATTTAATTTTTAATACATAAAAAAATTATAAAAATGTTTTATAATGTATTTGATGACGTAAGAAACTGGTTCATGGTTGTTTACAATATCATGCTACAGTCATTTATATATTACATACTACAGCTCTTCTCGGGACCGAAATTGGACAAAAAAAATTTGATCACAATTTTGGTCCCGTGAATGTAGCTTTAATAAGAAAATTTATCATTTTTTGAAGTAATATTATTATTTAATCATAAATTTGGCGTTATTATTATTGTAATAATTATTATTGTAACTAAATATGTACATTTATTTTTTCGCATCTGTATACGCTAGTGCTTTTTTTTGTTACTTTAGTTATAAAAACAATCAGTTGCCAACATTTGGCAACTGAATAATTTTGATTAATTACGCCGAGTGAAACATAATTGGGATAAAAAGATGCACTTCAAAATTTGACAATTTCTTAATTAAATGCATACACTGAAAGAAGGTCAACAACTTCAATCAGGCGTCAAGACGTATGTCTTGAATGACAGAAGATTTAAAATTAATAAAAATAATTTTGAAAGGCCACTTTGAAATTGCATCCTTATTTGATTATATTGAATTAAAGAGAGAATTATGGAAAGGGTTAGTCCAGTCATTCATCATATTGTTATTTTTATAATAAACAATAGTTATAAATATATTAAGAGTTTGTAGAATAGTGTTTTTGTGCGAAATGACCGTCAATCAAATGGTCAACCATTTGAAGGTGGAAAATTTGATAAGAAGTATATTAAATGTTTACCTAGTTTACAATTCACGTCTTTCAGTTGAAAACTACGCTGCGGTAAAACTGAAAAAATAGTTCTACCATTGAGAATGTCTGTTTGCAGCAAAATATGTCAAAATAAAAAAACAACAACACATATACGAAAAATATTGATAAGTAAAAGTAATATAAGCAAAGTAATATTAATTGTTTTGTCCCAATTCCTGGGGCAGGGTTTTCTCATAACTCCAGAATAAAACGAAATGCTTTATGTATTAAAAACCGGGCTCCAAACTTAAAACTGAAACCAGTTATGCCTGTTAAAACAATCAACTTAAAACTAAAACAGCTATGTCTGTTTAATCTATGATATTTTCATATGTCAACTGTATTTGACATTCTCCTGTAGAAAAATGAAATATAAAAATTGTATTATAAAAAAAAACAAATTTAAAATGAACTGATTTGAATTTCAAAATGAAAATAAAATAAATTTTGTCTAGCGCTTGAATAGAAAAATAGAAAAAAAATTATGAAAAATTACAAACACTTAACAAAGTAAGACCACTTTTGGTGACGGTACTTTTATTCAATTATTAAATCGTACTTTTGTTTGAAGTGACCGTCAATCGTTTAAGTAGTAATCAACCATCTCTTAATTTAATACCAGTCATTCTTGTCAATAATCGTTTTGAATTACCCTGTATTTAAAGAATTTCAGCATTGACGCCAAGTTTCATTACCAATTCTTTGTTTGTGTATGTGTTTACCATGCGCAGTTTTATTTCATGCCAAAAGACGCCGTATGTATAAATTTTTGTTCATTAAAGAAAGTTAGAAAGAAAAATTCGATTTAATTATAATAAAAGTAAAAATTTTTATACAATTTATGTATAAATGGAAAGTAAAAGTGTAAAAAAAGGTTTAAAATAAAATTTAAGTGAGTTTATTTAATTATTATATAAAAATAGTAGAAAAGAATGTTTCATAATTGCCATTTCAAAACTAGATTGGTAGGTGAAGGCAAATTTTTTTTTTAATTTTCTACAAACCTTTCCATAATTTCCCTCCAATAAATTTGTATATTTTCATTTTGTTTTCTGTAACATAAAATTTATTTTTAAAAGTAAATAATATGTGCTGAATTGAAATTAATGATTTTTAAATATGTATATATAAAATAAAGTAAAAAAAAAAAATACAAAAATTTCAATACGTCGACATTACATTGGTAGTGGACAGGGTGGAAAAATAAGTAATGTGATTGAAGTTTTGGGGCAAATTTCGTTAAAACCGTCAATTTTATGATATTAAAAATCGCGATTTGGTTTATGATAAAAAAAAAAAAAAAAAAGAATTTGTGCGTATATGTTTATAATTCTAACTTGTTTTTAAATTGTTTATTTTAATTGTTTATTTATTTACAAAAAGTTCATAAACTATTTTAATTTATTTGAAAGAAATGTGACAAAAACATAATTTATGCCAGTACCTCTTTTGTAATTGTTTTACATAGGTACTTACCTGATTCTTGTTCCTATATAAGCTAAGTTATCCAACATCGAACTATACGTGTAGTAAAATGGTATTGTATTTATATAAGTAAAAATATATATGTACATATTTCGCTAAATATAAGAAAAATAAAGGAAAAAATCTGTAAACTTTAAACAAGAAGTAAAGCTGATATTTCGCTGTTTTACAGGTGCGTTAGAGAATTTTTGTTATAAATGTGTTGTTTCGCGTTTTATTTTTTTACGGATTTAATGCTCATATAAAGTGACGTATGATTGCTATGTTGGCTGTTAGTTTTATTATTTGGATAGACAACCATTTTGACCATTACCTTTAAAAATTTCAATGGACAAAGTAATTTCCATAGTACAAAACTTTTGGGACATATGTAAGTGTGTGTTTTTCCAATAGGAATTCAAGTTGAATAATAGATATTTAATTGTCAATATCCTTCATTACAAAATTGTGGAGCATGTGGATATACATATGTATATTTAAATGAATATAAACAAAATAAACATAGTAAAATTTTAATTCATAATGTTTTTATTTACTAGTTTTAAAAACAAATATTTTCAAAACAAAAACAAATAATGTTTCTGAAATTTTTTGTAACCGTTGCTTTTGTTTAATTACAGATTAAAAACAGGTGAAGAACAAATTCTTATTCAATAGTAAAAGATTAAAAAATTTTAACGTTTGTGTCAAATCGGAAGATTATACAATGAGCTACACTCCTAAACAAGGGAATTCTAGTGGTAGTGGTGGAGGAAATGTAAATCCAAATCAGATAAATCAACAAGCCAAAGCTACTCTCGCTGGTATTGCGAATATGCAACAGCAAATGCAAAACTTAGTAAATCAAAATCCCCAAAATCAATCTTTAAACGCATTTTTTAACTTGCAACAACAAAACTTGTTAAAACAACAAATGCTTCTGCAAAATACTCAGTTCTTACAACAACTGCAACAACAGCAACAACAACAACAGCAACAGCAGCAACAACAACAGCAACCGCAACCTCAATTGCAACCAAATTTAACTGGTAAAGAACCTCTGGCGTTGACTAGAACACAAAATGCCGCGGATATTATCAACAAAACTTTTCAACAACAAGCAAATGGTAGTGCTGTGGGATCTAATTTAGGTAACGTAGCGCAGTTTTCACATTTACAAGCCTTTGCTCCAAATACAGCAACAGCAAACTTGATGCAACATTTACAAGCTTATCAATATCAAATGCAACAACAGCAGCAAAATCAACCACAACATCAGTCTCATCAACAAACAAACAAAATGCAACAGCAATCATACACAGGTCAACAAAATACACCAGGACACCATAATCAGCAGCAATACCAACAAAACTATCAACAACAACAACAAAAATTTGGACCCGGGTCCTCAAATTCGCAATCCCAAGCACCAGTCTCGCAGCAATCGCACCAACAACCTCAACAACAATCGCAAAATAAGAGTACGCCAAATTTGGGTAATCAAATAACAAAACCACCAAATTTGCCAGCTGCCACGCAAATAACTCCCATTCCTCCATCAACCTCTCAGCAGCCACAATCAAATAATTCACAGAATAAAAGTCAAACAAAACCTCAAGTAACGATGACACCGACTACTGTTGGGAAATCAAGTAAATCATTAACATCACTTTATTTATTTGAGTTTTTTTCTAATCTTTATTTTATGTTGTAGATACACAGCATTCTTCAAATAAACCAGCAGGGGGGCAATCTTCTTTTATAGGAAATCGGGCTATAGCCAGTCCGTATGGTAAGAGTTCACATGGACATTACCAAAATTCCAGTACCTTGAATTACAAAACTGGTTCTTCAAAATTACCACCGCCAACGCAAATTACTGCGGTTCCGCTTACAAAGCCTACTATTGCTACAAGCTCTCCAATCAAAACTTCTATGCCAACAGTATCAAATGCTTCTTCTCCTAGGTCAGGACATACTCCTCCAGCAGTCAATATTCCTCCTAAGTCGATTACACCCCCCGTTTCCGTTATCCCATCAAGTGTTACACAGTTAACCCCCAAAGGAATATCTATAACGCCTTCAAAACCCTCGACTGGCACTCCAATTCCCACGTCTATACCAGCACCAATTCCGGCAGCTGTTGTTGCTACAAGCGCAACTTCGACATTAAGCGTACCACCCCCAATCCAACAGCCTGTGCATCCAATAACACCTGACATTTTAAGTTCTGGAGCTTTAAATACACAAAAACCTCCGTCATCTCCTAAATCATCAGAGGTGTCTATTACACCCAAAAATGAAAATGCAACACCAAATACTGTTGAAACTTCAGCATCATCTTTAACGAAAACTGAGATGCAAGAAAAAAAAGAGGAGGAATCTATAAAAGGTAAAAGCACCAGCAATGAAAATAATGAAACTAAAGCAAAACTTGGTGCAGAGGAAAAGCAAACACGTATAAATGAAAAAAACAAGAAAGAAGAAACAAATTCCGAAACAAGTAAAGTCGAACCAACTAAATCCTCTGAACAGGAGTCTGCGAAAGATTCGCCAAAAATTGCAGATACGGAGAAAAATAATGATAAAAGTGTAATTGAAAAGAAAGTTGAAAATAAAGCTGTAACAGATATTTCTATTAGTAAGCTTGATCAAAAAGATAAAGAAGAAAAATCGGTCAAAGAAATCAAATCAGAAAAACTTGAAGATAAAAAAGAGGTTAAATCTATTGAAGCTATTAATAATATAGAAGACCAAAAGAATAAGTTAAGTACTGAAGATAAGCTGAAGTCAACTTCTCATGCGCCAACAAATGAGAAAAAAGATGAGATGAAAAAATCTGATCAGAGTTTGGAGAAAAGGGAAGTCTCTTCCAAAGACAACGATGCAACAATTGAGAAAGTCGTTAAAAATATAGAAATTTCAGTTAATAATGTAAGCGAAAAACCTGTCGAAAAACCTTCGGAGGGGAAAACTGACGAAAGCTCTGCAGTGGAGAAAGAAAAAAATGGAGCCGTTTTATCTGATTCGATAGCAAATAAAAAAGATGAATGTACAAATCCAAATAATCAAACATCAGTTGATAACAATAAACTGGTCGAAGCTGAAGAAAAAGTGCAAAAAACTGAAAAGCTATCAAGTCGTAATACGCAGGTTCAGCAGAAAAATAAAAATATAGAATCTGCAACAAAAACTGAAAAACATAAACTAGAAGCAAAAAGAACAACTAATCGAATAAAGCCTGCAAAATTATCGACGCTTGCAGACTCCGAAAATTCAAAGAAAATTGAAAGTTCAAACACCGTAGATTCAAAAGATAAGGACAATTTTTCTGAGTCAAATAAAACTCAAGAAACAATTTCCCAAGCGTTAGTAAAATCAACACATGGCGACTCCATTTCAGTTGCAACGCCTTCGAAAATTGAAACTCCAAAAGACGAAAGTGGAAGCAATCGTACCAAACGTCATCGCTTAAAAACTATACTATATCAAAGCCCTCTGCCAGAACTAGCATTTATTACAAAATTGTCCGCAAGTGAAGCGTCAAATTCACCCAAACCTGGAGCAGGTAACGAAGATAAATTAGTTTTATTTTATAAAAATGAGTATCTTGCTGTACGAAATGCGGAGGGAAGTTTCTTTTTGTGTCAAGCTTTACATAATGTTTATAAAACATCACCCAGAATACGTATTAGGTGGCTTTCCGAGGAAAAATCAGAAACAAGTGTTTACATTCCTGATTTTTACGACAATACCGATATTGAATGCGTGTTAACAACCGTAGATTTGAATAAAGTGAGCAGGGATCGGTTTAAGCTACCTGAACATGAAAAGGATCGGATTGAAAATATATTGAAAAAGGCAATCGATGTAGAAAAGGGGATTTTGCCCAGACCAGACATAACAGAAGAAAACCCAGATGGATGTAATTTGAATTTTTTATATTCTAAATAAAAGGCGTTTACATATTTCTTTATTTTTCTTTATACAGTGGACATCTCTCTTTATACTGATGAATCTCAAATTGAAAAGAAAAAAGGTAACAATAAATCTCCTCGACTAACCTCTCAAAGCAAAAAAGTGGCAAGCTCAAGCAAGAAAAAATTGAAATCAAAAAGTCCGTCAAAATTAAAATCAAATTCAAAACGGAAAAGAAGCAACAACGAGACAGATAATAGCGAAGATGATGATGACGAAGAAAAAGATGATAAGGAATATAAACCGAGTCATAAAAAAAGAATAGTAACGCAAAGTCAGCAAGGCCAAGGAGTTCGACGCCTTCAACGCTCCCCTCTAGCAAAAGCAAGAGCCGCCTCACCAATTACACTCAAAAAACAAATTTCCAAAGCAGTGCCTCAAAAAGTAATTAAACTTAATAAGTTCATTAAAAAATCTTTTAATTAAAATATTTTTAGAGTTCTGAAGAAACCTCGGCGAGTAGTAGAGAAATTAGAGCAGCTAAAAGAAGAGCAACGGATTCAGGAATTGAAGATGGTACCATAACTAAAAAACCTTCAATAGCAATCAGTAGAAAGCTTTCAGACAAAAGTAGTAAAACTTCCAAAACAGAAGGTAATATATTATATACCTGTTGTTGACTTTGTTGTTAACGGCATTAACGGTTCGTTATTAACAAAAATTTTGAAAGTAAAAAAATAAGATCTTGAACGATCGTGCCACATCAACGTGAGCGTGGCTTTGTGATGATTGTTTTGCTTTCAGGCAATTATTTTTCATTGTCGCTTACAATAGTAAGATGTTTGTTAAAAATTTTTACTAAGAAAACATCTTGCCGGAGAATATTAGTTAGTTGAGTTTGATTTTTTTGTTTTTTAAACGGTGCATCGACTGTTACAAAATTGTTATCGAGTCATAGCTTCTGCCATGATAAAGGCCTAGGCTTGAATTTTAAAAATAGATTTTTCAATACACCATACCATAGCTTTTTTTTATTAAAAATGCTTTAATAAACAAAAAATATGTGTAAATATTAATCAAAATTTTTAAGTTAAGATATAATGAATGGGCATTTAAAAACTTTTCGAAATTCAAAACGAATAATAGAACTTTTTAATTATTATTGATTTATGATTTTAAATTTGTGCAGCAATACATGATATACTTTTTCGACTTATTCAAATTTTTAAGAAAAAACTATAAATAAATTTTATAATTTTATTTATATTATAAAATTTAACGATAAAACAATTTCTCAGAAAATGTTGAACAAACCACTTTACCTGATAACGATCAAAGTGTAAAATCTGGAGTTTCAAAGAGAACGAAAGTATCAACACCAAGTAGCAGTACCAGTCCAGTATCTGAAAAAACCTCAAATAATACTACATCCTTATCATCATCATCATCATCTACGCAAGGGGCGACTCCATCAAGAGCAACACGAAGTCGAAAATAAAAGTACTATATAAATATTAATGAATAAACGCATAAAATAATACATGTATGTAAATGTATTAGGTTAAATAGATATACATATAAGTATATAAAAAAGTTATAAAACATATAAGAGTAAAGAAATTAAATAAATAACAAACCGATTTATAAATATCGTTATTTTAAATATAACCTATGAATTTCTTTAAAAAAATGAGTACTTCATTTTATATGAATTCCAATCAAAATTATTTTATAAGTATAAAATATGTATTAAAATAAGGTGTTTTTATAATTCGGGTTTTTATTTATTTAATTTTATTTTTAAAGTTCTACAATATCTAAATTTTAACGTAATATTTACATAAAACAAAGGTAGTTAACTATTATGAGTTTTTTATGTTGTTCTTTTGTTTTTTTGTTTTAGGTTACTTATAAAAATTAAAAAAAAGAAGAGGATAATTAATAATTATCGAATTAAAAAAAAACACAGTACACATATATACAGGCACACAAACATTAACTGAAAAATAATTAATATCCAGCACTTTTAAGGAATTTTTTAAGCGGCGATTATAATTTTTTTTTAACATAAATAATTAAAGAAAACAAGATTAATATTATTAAGTATTAAATAGACATAATAAAATAAGATATCAAAAATATATCTTATATAATTCATAAAAAATAGAATTCTATTATATAGTTCAGTAATCATAACGATAGTTTCATCTTTTTGTTAAATGTTCTTAGGTCTTACACACTGTAATCGTTTATTTTTATAAATTTTTTATTTTTTATTATATTTTTCGTTGTTAAATAACATTTATTACTTTTTTTATAAATTTGAAATACAGGATTCATATATATATATATATATATATGTACATATTAAAAGGCTTTAACACAATCAATTTTAACAGAAAACAGTATTTATAATAAGATTAACAACTGAAAAATTGTGCTTTTCACTAAATTTGATCTTTAGGACTTTTGTTCAACGATAAGTTTTCATAAAACTAAAGAAAATTGATGTCCAGAAAATACCGATTTGTTGATTTGTAAGTAGATTTGAAAGAAGTCGAAAATCCCATTTACGAAACTTGTTATGATATGTATATTTGTAATAAAATATTTTAATAACAGTCATTCGATTTTAGTTTAAACAAAGAAGCAAAGCTTTTTGTGAAAATAATAGAATATGAAATACATAATTTTTTGTAAGTAATAGTAACGTAATTTTTTTTATGAAATAGTAACATCATTTTGCAAGATTTATTAATTTTTGTTGTTCGTATAGAATCGAAAATAATTTTTTTTTGTCAGAAATCTAAAATCTTAAAATTTAAATAGGCATACAAAATAATTTTGTTTTTTAACCTGATAGATTCTTTCAATTAAAATATTGGTAAAAAATCAACTCAATCCAAACAGTGACATCAAAAAATTATAAAACAAGATAAGTTTTCAATTTAAAACCTGCAATTTTTTTTTAGTTTTGAGCACTTTTACACAATTGTATAAAAAGTTGATAACTTATATAAAAAAATGTACATATACAAATACATATTTTGAAATAAAAAGTATAAATGAAACAATTGATTGTGGATTGAGCTCTTCAACAAAGGATCTCAAGGAAACTAATTGAAATAAAAACTATGATTTGTTATGACAAAAAGAAGGAAAATTGAGAATAATTTAAACAAATAAAATAAATTGTAATGATATTATTTTGATGTTTTAGATAAAATTTTAGGTATAAAAGTAGTAATATTGACATATTACATTTAATTTCTTTGTTTGTTTTTTCTTACTTTGAAAAACGTGTTTATAAAAATTTCAATAAAAATGTATGTAATTTATTAGAGAATATATATATATAAAATAATAGTTTATAATGATATAAAAGAATTGTAAGTGAATATAATATTAATTTCAATTGTAGAGAAGTTTTTAAGTTATTCTTAATACATATATGTATGTTTTTTAATATAATTTTTACTTTTTTATAATTTTTCGATTGGAATAATCTGACATGTGTATATTGCATGCACTATATATATATATACCAATAAATCAAAATCATATAATGTTCTATTGCATGCATATAGGTTTTTATGAATTTGATGTCTTCGTCAATAATGAAATTCTATATGTTTATTGATAAATTTTAATTTAATAATTTGTTATTAAAACTTTTTTTTTTATTACATGATACGATTTCGAGAAAAGAGTGCTAAAAGTTAAAATAAAAAAATTGATATACGCATCAAAGATCAAAGAATATCAAAATGAAAAACAAATAAAAATATATAAAATAAAATAATTTCAAATTTCGGTTTATCGAAATTTTTCTACTTATTACGAGAATTCCAATAAATCTTGATTGTAAAAATATATGCAAATATTCAATTATTCTGCTCGAATATATAACATATTATTCTTCGAATAATCCATTCTGTGTATTTAAAAAACTGTTAAGTATAATCAAAATTTATTACAAATACACAATTGCAGATTTCCAAAAAAAAATTGTTTTTATTGAGTTTAATTTACATGCGAGTAGATTTCTTTTAGATTTTAAAGAAAGCACTGATCACATTTTAATATTTCTGTTTTATGTGTTTATTTAAATTAAATAGATTTGAATGTGTAATTAGAACAATAAAATAATATCAATTTTTTCAAAATCTGTTTTTAGTTAACTGCTGTTACACAAAATCAATTCAAATTAGTTTTTATTTCATTAAAAGAAATAAGATTTTCCTTCAATATGCAATAGAAGTAATCTAAAATTTTTTTTACGACATTAATTTTAAGTAAGAAGAAATATAGGTATTCGCACATAATCCGTAATTAGAAAAGAAAATATTGTAATATTTTGTTCAAATTTAAGTTCAATATTTTATTGTTGTACGTTTTAAAATCTTTTCATTATTTCTTCATTATTATTACTTTTAATAATAATTTAAAAATTTTTTTAAAGATAATTTGTCGATACAATGTTTATTATTTTCATTTAATTTTTATTTCTATTAAATTAATAAATAATTTAAATATATTATAGCAAATATAAAGCAACTAATAAAACAAATATCTCTCAGTAATTTTAAAAGGAAAAAAAATAATTAGTTTAAAAAATTAAAAAAGAAAAAGGAAAGAAAAAGAATCTAAGATGAATTTACACATTATGTATATGCTATTCTATTTGCTTATAGATTAGAAGAAACTTTAATTATTAGTATGTAATTATAATATATACATATATATATATATATAAATATATAAATTATATATAAATATTGTGAATTAAAAAAAAAGAAAAATTATAAATAATTATACGAAAAAAAGAGAGGTAAAATAATTTCAAAATTAAAATAAAAACAAATTATATACAAAAAGGGTATATAAGCTTAAGTATATATATATATAAATTTATATTTATATATATATTTATATAATACACATGTATATAAATATATGTATACATATAAAACATATTATTGTACATTTGGAATTATGTACAAAGCTATATTATTAAAAAAATTCTAATTATATTAACCTTAGATCGTATTTTAATTTTATTGTATTCTTTCATAATTGTGGAAAGAATAATATAATTTTTAGTTTTTTTTTAATTTTTGGTATTTACGACCTTTTTTTATTTTAATAGTTTAGCCTACCTTTATTGATAAATAATAAAAAAAAAAAACAAATTATGAATAAAAAAATAAAAAAAAAAAAGAAAATAGATTATCATATTTAAATTTGTGAGAGTTAGTATGATTTTTATTCGATGAACAAAAAATATTAAAATTAATTATAAAAACAAAAAAAAAATAAAAAAAATTATAAAATTGATAATTAAAAAGAAAATTGGTAACAAATCATAAAGATTCTTTTACAGCTAAGTAATTTTTTGTTTAACAACTAATCCAAAAAAAAAAAAAACACAAAAATACAAATAAAAAAAGCATATTAAAAATAAAATTAAAAATATAAAAAATATAAATTGCATAAAAAGAAAAAGGAACAAATTTAAATATTTATTAATTATAAGATGTTTCACAGAGTAAGAAAACTCATTTTGATGAAAATTAATAAAGCAAAAAAAAAATATATATATAATGTTTCTATTTTTCTTTAACAATATTAGTTATCTTCAAGTAAAGGATAATTGAAATTTATATTATAGGTTAATATTTTTCTTGGTATCTGTCCACTGTAATTGAATTTTTTCTTAGTAATAAGAATATATTAACAGTATAAGATACTATTTTTATATGATGTTTTTCATTAACAGTCTTATCAAGAATTCCACTTGAAAACTTAGCTGGATCTTTGGAACTTAGCTACGACGTAGACTTATGAATGATTACAAATTCCTTTCGTAGAGATTATGAATCAGCAATTCAGCACAATTTTTCGGAGTGTCAAAAGCAGTATTTCATTTCCATTGTCAAAGGTTTATATTTTTTTGTTATATGAAAGTTTGCTGTTTTTTTAGTTTTTTAATATTTGTGACAAGTGGAAAAAAAAGTTTTCAGCAAATAAGAATTCATTTTTCTCCATGGTAGTTGCATTAGAGAAAGAATAAAATAGAATTTCCAACTTTAGAGAAAAAATTAAAACGACTGTTCCTTTTAAATTACTTGTTACATATGATTATTTCTTTCGAAAACTTTTGACATATTTTTATTACGAACGTAATTTATGAACGTAATTTACGTATTACGAATATTGAAAGCAGAACTTTAGTTATTCGGAATCATATGATGATTTCGGTTTGTGAAAAAGTTGAAGACTTTGATAGTAAAGATTTATCGAACAGGCTACATTTGAAGATTTTGTAGACTTTCAAGGTTTATTATGGAACTTTCAGCGTATATTTGAAATATTCTGACTATTTTTGACTTTAAATTCAATTTATTATACTTTTGTTGATAGTTACAATCGTATTGTAAATTTCTATTATTACTTTTTGTATACAAAAGTTTCCTTATTGCCGACCGCCTTGTGTATACAATGAGGTAGGTTATGGTAGGCTGAACCGATTTTGATTTCATTGAAATTTAATATTTGAATTCGAGGTGTTAAAACAATTAATCTATAAATTTTTTGGGAAGATTAGGGACCGGAAACTGATCTGGGGGCCGATTTTAAAATTTTTATCATATCTACGAAACGAATTTCTGAATATCTTGAAATTTAATATTTGAGTTCTGATTGTCACCAGAATTTATTAACGAACTTTTAGTATAATTCGGACGGTACAAAATGAAACTCTAGTAAGAGCCAAATTTACATTTTTCTAGGTATGTTAACTAAAAGCTTATTAGTATCCTAAAAATTGTAAAGAAGTGTTTAAAACGCATTTTCATAATCTTCTAGAAGACTTTTACTAATCTAGATGATATACATTGCGGTCGGTTATGTGTTGACCACATCAGATTTTTTTCTTTAATTTATAGAAATTTTCATAATTTTTTGAGGCTGACTTTCGCATTTACTCTTAATGATTATTCAAATGCTTAAAAAGTGCTATCAAAACGACTGTAATTTTTATAAAATTTATACTTACTTTCGTTAAATTTTATCCGTATTTTGATATTCACATGGGTTTGTAATAATAATATTATAAATCTGTGATATTTTTACATTAAATTGCACTTTGTTGTATTTTTTTTATAAAAATACAATATTGATCACCATAGAAATACTTTGGAACATTCATGGAGGGTAAGAAAAATTTATTTATTTGAAAATTACTCTAAAAAAATAAAATTTCATAATTTGGTAGCTATTTAGAAGTAAATATATTTATTTATACGTTTATTTAAATATAAATTTTTACAGCTTTTGTTCTTTTTTTTTTGTAAATCATATTTATAATCTTATTTTTCTTATAAATTAATGAAATTTTTAAATTGATAAATTTTAAGAACAACACAAAATTAATAATAAATAAGTGTTAAGTAATTTTTATCAAATAAACGATAAACTGAAAAATGTGTATGGTTTTTTTTCTTTAAATAAATTATTTTGATATTTATTTTTAATTATTAAAAATAGCTTAATACTAATATTTGGAAATTTATAAATTTATCATTATGTACATTGAAGGATCGCAATTATACGATTGTAGGGGATATATATTTTTTTTTTGTTTTTTTTTTTCTATTTTTATATTTGTTCAAAAAATATTTATTTTATATTTATGTATATATTTATATATTGTTGAATTTTACATACATATACTATATAATAAATATACATATTTATTATGTAAAAGCGTTGGTGTTGTTTATTAATAAGCATATAATGTTTTATATAATATAATATTTAAAGCCTAATAATTTTTTTTTATTAATTAGTATGATATTCTGTTAAAGCAAATTTATATTTTTTCTTCGTTATTGTTTTTTCTTTTCGGATAAAAATGTATTTGATATGTTCTTTTTGATAATGTTGTTGAAATGTTAATATGTAAGTATATATTTTAAACAGTTCAATTTTTTTTTATTTTAAATACATTTTTAATGTTATAAAGTATTTTAGATTTGTATTCGTTGAATTAAATTAAAAAAAAAAAATATTTTCAAAGAAAATTTTAATTAAATATTAAAATATGTATAAATATTCAAATATAGTAACAAAGTAATATTAGAAAAAACATAATATGAATTATTCAGCAATTTAAATTGTATTGCTGAATACATCATATAGACGTTAGATCTGCATTTTTGTAAATGCTCATATATTAATTAATTAAACTGAATGTTTAAGTTTTTCACCAAAAAAAAAATTAGAATGTTGGACCACTTGATTATTATTTGCAAATATAAATATATTAGTATATTTAATACCACATGGAAAAATTATAAAGGATTATTTTGGTAAGAAGTTTATAAATATACTTATTATAATGTTGTTTATAGGTATATGACTTTATTTAAGTCAATTGAAATTCATGACTTTTAATTTATTTGAATATAAATTTTTCTTTCTGTTTTGAAATTATCTGTTTTGATAGTCTGGTATCATGTTTTCTTAATATATATTTTATTAATATGAGTTTCACATTATAATCCAATTTAAAATTTTATTTCCATTTACTGAATAAAGTAAATTATTATTGAATTTTTGAGGTTAAAATATGAACCAATAAAAATAGGCTAAAAATGAGGGAAAAAGATAAATGCATTTTAAGAATTTTGATATTTTTCTAAAATAGTAAAGTAGAATTTTTAATTATGTATTAAAAAGATTACATAAGTCCATTTGTTTACAAGATAAAACGGAGTATTTTTTAATCATAACACTAAAAGTAAATGATATAAATTCACTAAAAACTGACTGATAAAAACAATGATGACGGACAGGTGATGGACTTTCTTCTGAAAGTAAATAAGGAATAAATAGAATGACATGTAAGAATTGACATTAATGACAGTAAAGGGAAATAAAATATGTGTACAAATTTTGGTTAAAAAAAATATTTGAATAATACTTTTAAAAGAAAGAGCAAATATAATTGAAATTTGCGATTAATTTACTTTACTCAGAAATAATTAATAACTTAGCTATTAATAGCAATGCAATATGAATTGAAAAATGGAATTTTATATAGTAATTTAAAATTAAATAAAATAATTTATATATAATTTTTATTTATAATATAATATTTTATTTTTGAATTGAAATTAATTTCAATAATAAAATTCTTTTCTCTACATTAATAATTATAAATTTTTTGTTTTCCATATAAATATTTTTAATTTTGAAACCGAAAAATGGTTTTCCTTTTTGAGTGTATGTAGTAGTAGTAGTAGTAGTAGTAGTAGTTATTGTTGTTGTAAGTATATAGATAGTGTTATTTGTTTTTGTTTTATTGTTTTATCATTTATTTTATAAAAAATTTCTGGAAGACTGAAATTAGCTTTAATTTTATACAATAGTATTTAAGTTCAGTTTATAGGAATAAATTTAATTTTTAGATAATAAATAAATACATTTGTATTTTTTGAACATGATTATATATAGGTATAGGTACACCGATTTCAAAACAAATATGAATGTATAGTAGTATGTATAGTAAGTGTATTTTGTTTAGTTTTATTTAATTTTTTTTTTTGCTATTTTTATTGTTATTATTTTATTATGAATTGTATTGTAATTTATTAAATAAATATTTTTGTGATGTGTCTCAAAGCAATATTCTTTAAGATTTATGTGGTAGAATACATCGATTATAAATATAGATATGATTTTTTTATCCATAGGTAAATTTACGTACGAGTATAAATATGCAAACATGTAGTGGAACTATGTTATAACTGTTACTGATTATTATAAAAGTTAGCGATACAGCAATTGCCTAACGAAAAGTCGGGTTGGGTAGGTATTAATTTTATTACAAGTTTATATCTTCCACTATTTAAAATATATTCTGTCAAAATTTAGTCAATGTCCTTCATATTAAGTTCCTAAAATTGCAGAGAACACTGTTAAGAGGTTCAAAGTTTTTTTAAAGGATATTTAAAGCATTTGTTTAGTTATCTTTCAACAATGTTTGCATACATATATATATATATATTTATATATATATATATATATTATATATATATATATATATATATATATATATATATATATATATTATAAATATTTAATATAATTATATAAAATTATATTATGAGAATAAAATATATACATATTACACAATTTTAGGCATTTCCATGTATATAAGTCCACTTCCCAGTATGTTAAAGATCCAATCACGTCAATCGTTTAGTTGTGCAAATGGCAATGATCTGCAATTACGCAATTTTCGCAATAAACATGTTGTTAAAATGTTATTTACCTCTTATGCATTAACTTTTGAAAAAAAAATTAAAAACTAAAATAATCATTTGGAATACGGGGAAATGACCTGACATATGAAATTAAATTGTATTGAGAATTTACAGAGTCTTGTATATATAGTATAATAATTTTACTTGTATTTACTTGTATTAAAAGTTTGTTTTGTTTTGAATTTATGACCTCTTATATTTTAATTTTCTAACCTCCTTTTATAAGTAAATTAAAAAAGAGAAATTTGCTTAATTCTTATATGAGCTCACTTGAAATCTCTTCAGTTTGACATTCAAGTTTATTTTTTTTCAACTATAAATAAATTTAAAAGCTGAGGAAACTGTATTTTTTAGCACTTTCCCAAAAAAATATTTTAAAGAAGTACCGTCTGTTTATCTGTGCTTACAAAACTTTTACCTTTAAGATAGAAGGCTGAAATTTTATATACAAATAGATTTTTATTATAAACTTATTTCGATAGCAGAAAAAGTTCCAGCCTTAAAATGTCCTAAAAATGGCATTTTTAATTATTTATTGTAGTGAAACTACAAATATTTTTATATTCGAATTATAATAATAAGAAAAGAAGTGACTGACTTCTTCTACCATAGTATAGCGGCATTGCATAGTTTATATTTAAAATAATAAAATGGATGTTAAAATTAAATAAACCGTTATGAAAAATCTGTTTTTTTTTTTTTTTTTCAAATTTTTGATATCGTTTTCCTTCTAGACCATAAGTTGTATTTCTGAAAGATTCAGAAATTTTAACGCCTTTGAGATACTAAAACGTTTATTTTGTTAAAAGAAATTGTTTTTCCATCTCCATCTCTTATCAATTAATTGCCCCTCGAAATTTGTAAAATTTGAATTTGCGGCAGTTTATGTTTCCGAAACTGTAAGGTTTTCCAAATTTATATAAAATACAGAAAGCTAACGGAAAATGCCATGCCATCAAAAACATAATTACTTATGTCAACTCATGTAAGTCATATGAATGAAAACAAAAATAATTTATGGTATTTGACGAAAGTAATTTAAATAATGCAATAAATTATTTTTAATTGCAGTATTTTCACTTATTGAAGGGAAAAGTGCTGCTTTACAGAACGTTGGTTTTTATTAAATTTCCATTTTGGTTTGTTAAATACAACAAAATTTCGTAATTAATAGCATAACATTATGTTACTTAGTTTTTATTACATTTCAAATAATCATTAAATATTTAAACTTAAATTTAAATATTTAAATATAATAATTTGTGAAAGATTTAAAAAAAATACATTGTTTAGTTATAAACTAAATTAGTGTTGCACTGAGTAGACGTTCTAGAAGCAGTTACGTGGAAATTCTAATTACAATGGCAAATAGTCATTCTACTTTTGCTTATACTTCGATAAATGGCTGCAATAATTTTGACAAAATTAATTTAATTTTGTTTTATGTATATGTAATTGTATTCTGCCTCTGTATAGATTTCTTTGTTTATTTGAGAAATTTGTTAAATAATACTTACTTTATAAAATGAATAAATACATACTTAAATACTTAAAGTTCAATAAAATTTAAAAAATCCATGTTTTTCAAAATATATTAGTAAGTACAATTTTCGGGCTATCATTCTCTAGTTTCAGCACATAAGATATATGCGAAATCTAGCAATAATAATCTGTATACTACCTGAATTATAAGTCGATATTTATTTATTATCAGATTTTTTTAGAATAGAAATGTATATTTTTTTTTAAATCCAAAATTGTTTAAATGTCAAACGACAAAAATCAAGACGATTGTTGAGATTGTTTTCTTCACCTAGAAAAATTTCTAAGTACGAGTTATAATATGAGTTACGCTATGGTTTCATTTCTCACTGGTCTGATATTTTCTTTACTAAACTACTGAATAAAAATCGTTATTGCTTAACGTATCGATACTATATCCGTTTTAAACAACAAATAAAATAAATTTATGAAGAATTTTTATAAATAATTTGAGATTATAAAAATTAAATTTAAGAAAATCATTGTAATTTTTAAATTATATAAATAAAATAAAAACACAATGTTTAAATTAAAATTACCAGATTTTTTTAACTTAAATATAAGAAGAAATATATATATATAGTATAATAACTCTTAGAAGAAATATATATATATAGTATAATATACAGACTCTTAATAAATTCCTTATACAATGTCTTTAATACATTTAATAACATTTACTCAAATAACATATGTTATAGTACATACATACATAATTATTTATTATGTTGTATTTTTTTATATATTTATATTTTTTTATAATATTATATAGAGTACAATAATAATTCTTAACTTCAAAATTGTAGCATTATTGTATTTTCTACACTATTCACCAATTAACAATTTTGTAGCTGAATTGTGTGTAAATATTGTATTACTGCAATTTTGCAGTCAGGGATTTTAATGTTATCTTACTTATTCAAAAAAAAAAAAATTTGTTTATTTTAGAATTTTACTACTTTAGATTTTTTTTGTGTTTGTTTTCTTTGAGATTTTCATTTATTTTTTAAATTTTATAGTATTTTATTTACAGCAAAATAATTTCTTTTTTTTTATACATTAAGTAAAATATTTTATTATCTTATTTACAATTTATAATTTTTTTTTTTATTTATACTAAATTTAATTAATTTTTATACTAATATAGTTTTTTTCTTTTGTATTTTTCCTACATACAGATAAACAGTTATTTTATTGAGATGGATTAAATTTAACATTTATTATGATTTTATTTATTTATTTTGTTTTTTTTTTGTATCAGTGTAACTACAGTTACATATTATTATATTTATGCAAAGACAATTTTTTCTTACTTCAAAAATTCAGTAGTACGGTATAGCTATAGAATTTAGTTTACAAATTGTAATTGCTAAATTGTATAGCAATAATCGTATTACTGCAATTTTGAAATCAAGGTTTATTCTATGCAGTTTTTTATACTGCTCTTCAAGCTTTCTCTACAGCTATAAAAGTAATTTCTTATTATAAAGTCATAATTTAATGCATCTTTTCGTACGAATCAATTTCAATTTAAAATTAATATATTTTTTTTTATTTTTAATTGGGGTTTGGAATATTTTAGCACAGTATATAATATGTATACGATATAAAATAAGAGTTAATTCGAATGTATACAAAATGCTGTTCCAAAAAATTTTAGAAAAAGAGAAAATTAGAGTTTTTGTATTAATACTTCGTACGGGAATTCAATAAAATTATATTAAATCGCATGAAATTTTGTATAAATAAAACACTATGATTATGGGCTTTGTTAAAATCAAAAAAACAAAGAACAAAAATTAAAATAAAATTCCTATGATTTTCAATTGCTTATCCTAAAAATCCTGGATCAATTAAATTAATTTTAATATTTATAATTAATATTTCCACTAATTGTAGTTTCTTATATTTTAATTTCGAAGGGAGCAAATTTAAATAAAATTATTGGCTAATCAATATATTAAAAAACTAGTAAACTATGCTAAGGTAATTTTTTGTTTATAACCCACAGAAATTTTCTTTACTTTTAAGTTTTTAAAGCGCTCTTAATTTTAAAATGATATAGAAATTAAGGTTTCGTTTACAAAATTTTGCAAAATTACTAAGAATACCATGGTGCTAATTTTAATTAGGATTCCAGAATATATGAAAATTATTAATTTAGTAGAAATTCCAAGTTCATTTTGATGTTTTAATGAAAATTATTGGTTTATTTAGTTGACCTAAATCCGCAAATAAATTTTCATATTTTGACATTCTCAGCTATTGCTTTGTGTTCCTTTTTGAGACAGCAAGTAACTAGATGTTTCTAATAACAATTTTAAATTATTATTAAGAATTTTAATCATTTATCATAATAATCATTTGTACGAAATTCAAAAATATAAAAACTTTTCAATTGAATTAATTAATCTATAAACAATATTTTAAAATTTAATGTAACAAAAATTGAAATTGATCGCAAACAATTTGAATTGTTTTAAGGCTTACACATTTTCTTTCTTTCCTCGTTTTTTTTTTTAATTCTTATATATATATAAAATTTTAATAATATATTTATTTATACTTATAAAATTTTTAAAAAAGTTCTCATTAAAATTAGGGTGTAATTAAATCTAAAATATTATGATATTATTTATTTTTATACTTGAAAATTATATAAATAAATAAACTTAAAAACTAACAAAAACAAAAAAATAAAACACAAACTAAATTCATTTAATTATAAAATAAAGTTTAATTATAAAGAAAAATTAAGAACATGAAATTTATGGTACTCGTATATCACTATGTGTAATAGCTGAAGATGATGGTTGATCATCAGTTGGACTTGGAGATTCATCACCTCCATGTGGACGAATTCTAACAACAGCTCGTCTTTCTTCATCTTGTTGTGGTATATATAAACCAGATGGACCGGAATAACATGGTGCAGCATTACCAGATAATCTTAATTTTTCAGTTTCACCAGTTCCATTTTCAGTAAATAACTGTCCTAAATTTAATTGAGGAATGTCATAGAAAACTGTTAAACATAACATGACAGCAATCAAACCTTTATTTTTTCAAAAAAGAGATAGAAATGCAAAATAATATTTTTATTCAAAGAAAAATTTAATTTTAATTACTTAGTTTATATTCTTTAATTTAAAAGAAATAATAATTACCACAAATTAAATAGATAGCAATGCAAATTTTATATAATGAACGATTTTCTGGTTCAACACTTTCTCCTGGAATATAATCACCTAATCCAATTGTTGTTAATGTTATAAAACAATAATAGAGTGCATCCAATGTTCCCCATTCTGGTTCCAAATATGAAAATATAATTGTTGGTATAGCTACAAATATTATAGCTACAATTGTAACTATAATTTTTTTATAAAAGAAAAACGAAGTAAATAGATAAAAAATTAATTAAAAAAATTAACAAAAAAAACAAATAACAAATTATTACCAATTATTGTTAAATGAAGAAGTCGAATATTAAATGGTTGATATAAATGACCCAATGAAGAATTTAATTTTCCAAGTAACCAATTTGCCGGTATTAATAAACGTTCAATTATTGCAGTTAATAATACAAGAGTTAATGGTATACCAAAACTTGCATATATAATGCAAAATATTTTTCCAGTTTGACTTAATGGTGTAACATGACCATAACCTACCCATATAGAATTAATATGAAAATTAATATTAAATTTTAAAAAAAATTATATTTTTTAAATTTCTTACCAATTGTTGTTACAATTGTACTCGAAAAAAATAATGATTGACCAAAACCCCAATTTAATTCATTTGATACATTACGTAAGGGTGAAATACCTCTATCATTAGCTTTGACAACAGCAGCTAAAAATTCTTCAAGATCAGTATCTGTATATAAAATTTAGAAGAAATTTTTTTTTATTATTAATAACAGAAATATTTAAAAATATAACAATAAATTAAAAAAATCTTATTAATAAAAAAAAATATTTAAAAATAATTGTTATATACCTTTAATCATAGGATATTTTTTTAAAAAATATTCTCTTTGTTTTAATATTGTATTTCGAATTTTATCGAATATTGGTGTTTCAATTGTGGCAAATGTTAAACTTCCTAATATTAAATATAGTGCGTATATAATAATAAAAAGACATAACCAAAGATTTTTTCTTAATGTAAAATGCTTTTTTTCTAAACTAATTTGTAACGGTGGTAACATTGGTAACGGTTGATTTCTTAAATTTAAATTTGAATTAAATTCTTTTTTATTATTATTAATTGTATTGTAATTTTTATTATCGTTTCTTAATATATTAACTGAATTTGTACTGTTATTATATTGAATTGTATTTATTGATGGACAACTTCTACTCTGATGAATATTTTTTAATTCAGTATTTAATTTTTTTTCATTAAAATTATTATTAATTACAAAATTATTTTCTGTATATGATAAATCATCATCAAGATCTTCATAATCATTCCGTAATTTTTTATCCAAAATAATTGTATTTGAAACATCTTTAAATTTTGATTTTAATTTTGAACCTATTTCAAGTTTAAATATGTCCATTTTAAAATTTATATATATATGTATATAGTATATGAAATTAGCCCAATATTATAATTTGATAATCTTTAAAAAAAAAACTAGGTTTTTTCTTTCTTTTTTTAATTAAAAAAAATTAATTTTACAAAATTTTTTTTTTATATTTGAAAAATAAGTGATTATAATTTCTTTTTTCTTTAAAATTTAATTGAAAAATTTTTTTCCTAATGCAATTTTTTAGGTTTAAATTTAAATTTAAACTAACATTTTACTTGGCTTTGAACTAAGCACGTATACGATAAATTATATTGAAAATTTTTAATAAAAATTTTGAAATAAATAAAAAAATAAAATCAAATTCCTGCACAATCTTAAAATAAATTTTTTTCAATTGAACATTTGAATAAATATTTCAATTTTTTAATTGAATACACAAGTATTTTTGATTTCAAAAGATGAAGTATTTTTTTAAATATAAATTTGCCTTTCTACCATCTGTCTGGACGATTAAAATGTCTATCAATTGTCTACTATTTTTTACTCTACAACTTTATAAAGATGCAAAAGTGAAAACAAAATCAGTTCACACATTTTCATACATGCATTTATTCTACATTATGTAAATAGATTTATTGTATAAACAGTGTTTCTCAACATGTTTTTATGGTGACATTCACATCAGAGTCAATAATTTTGATACCGTTCAATTATTTGTTATTAATATTGTATTTGGTATAAATTCTCACTCTTTCAAATACAAGATCTTTTTAAGCAATTTGTTGAATTTTCAAGTTTATAAAATAAACTTACGGGATAATTTAAAAGTAAGTAACTTGAAAAATTATCGTAATTATAATAATTATTTTAAAGTGTTTAAAACTTTTCCAATAATTATTTAACATGATTGATTTATCTCAATCAGTTTGCGTGTTATAATTTTGCCAAATTATTAATAACGTAGTTATTCAATAATGTGCAGGGTAGGAATATTTTCGTATTTGTACCATTATATTTTTACTGTTTTACTCTCTTCTGCTCATTATTCTTTTAAATTTTAGATTTACTACATATATTCGTTTTTCTAAATAACTTTATGAGACTTTTCTGTTTCAAAGACTTTTCTGTCTCTGTAGTGCATTTTTTTCAATATTTAAATCACACACATTCATTGAAATAGAAAATAATGTAGATATACATATAAGAAATTCGATACAAAGTAAATAAAATAAAATTATATTTTAATTAGTTTTTTTTTTAACTGTACTGTAAAGGTATTAATTATTATTTAATATAAATACCTAATTGATAAAAATAATTAAATTTAAAGTTTTAAACTAAAAAAATATGGACATCCGGCATCCGTAACTTAAATTTTCTGGCATCCGGCATCAAGATTCATATATAGATTTGCAAAAATAACGCTGACTTATAATGCTTTATTTAAAGAAAGAACGAAAACAAAATTACCTTTCACTCATAAATCTAACTAAAGAAAATTAACATGCTCGAAGGGTATACTATGCATATTTGCATATATTATCAAAATACACAGCACTTAAAATCATTCATTCGTACGAGTATCACAGGTGGACACGGTCAACTCTACCTATTCTCGTTTTTAATTAAGCTTGAGATTTGCAGAAGTCAATGAAATGATTAATTAAAAATGGAATAAGATAGTATCTGATCGGTTAGCTGATTTTATTAAAATTTTGTATTTTCGATTTGTATAGAGATGGTCTAAGACTTCACTGTATTCCTGCAGCAAGATGAATGTCTTTATGGCACATGCTTCTCGAGTTAAAGGGCCTCAAGTTGGAATATTTCAAAACCGGTAAAGCAAATAGGCAGATTAAATTAACTTTGTATAGTTATTTTGAGTGTTTCTATAAAATATTTTAAATCGGTAGAAATAGAAACATGAATAATGTTTGCTTAATTATTTTTGTATATTTTGAATCATTTGCTGGTTTTTCAAATGCTGTTTCTAAATTTTTATAACTAAAATTTATTAAGAGTTCTGTTCTGATTAAAAATTCTTATGGTTTTGTGAAGAGAATAATAATAATTTTAATCAATGACTGCTAACCTAAACCTTCAGATTTTTTTAGATTTCAATTTTTGATGCCTTTAGATTTCAATTCGAACTAAATAATAAACTGTTCTTAAAATCTATTTTGTATTGTCAAAACAGCACGAATTGTAAAAGACAGCGTCATATACAGACAATTTAATTTATCAATCAAATCGAAAATTTTCACTGAAATCTGAATTTTTCATTAAAGAAAAATTGACACCGAAATCTGAAAATTTTCATTAAAGTTTTTGTGATAGATGACGCTATCTTATCGTTCTTTTAATGTCAAAGCCTTATAATTATATAGTAAAATCGTATGATAAAAAATTTTTAATATTTCTATATTATTATTCTAGTTTTCATGATTTTTAAATATTTTAACAATGTAAATGCAAAAAAAAAAAAACAATAATTGTAGCGGTACGTAAATATGCAATTAACAATTCTAAATTTTCCATTTTATTTTTTAAAATTGAAATTATAATAGCTATGCGTATTGTGAAGATATTATAGTTCGACTTTTTACAATATTGGTTTAACAATTGCATCTATCAATTGTCAATTAAAAAAATATAAACATGAAATCATTTAAAATTAATGATTGTATTATTTCCCAAGTTTTCAAATTGAATTTTATTCATGTGCACCTATTTGTATAACATTATCAATAGTCATACTTATATGACTTGTTCAATTTTTATTGAAAAGTTTTATTAACATTTGATATACATATACATATTATGTATACATAGTAAGTACAATAGCATTTACAAACTTAAATAATGTTTTTTGTTTGAGAAAATTTTTTTTATTAAATTAAAGGTCTAACTTACTAAGTGTATTTCAATTGTTTCACAATTATTATTAATTTTTCATTTTATACACTACAAATATTGCGATGATAGCCCTCATTAAAATATTTTTCTTTTTATAAAATGAATTCCTATAGTTCTATATTAATTTCAAAGTGCATATATGTTTTTGAGACATACTAGTCAGAATAGAATTTGAATGGAGTATATTAAGGTTATTGTCATTATTATAAATTCATTGGATTTAATGAATTAATGATTTGAAATTTTTTCTAAACTATTATTAAATATTAGTAAAATTCAGAATATTAATAATGTTCAGAGTACATATTATACTATAAGTATAATGTGTGATTGAATGAATAATAGTTGAGAATTGCTTTTAGATTTTAATAAGTTACAAATTGCAATTATACAAATATTATGACTATTTATCACAAAATTTGAAAAAATTGTGACTTAGTAATACAAATAATATTTTATTTGAAAATTGGTAGGAAATATAGTTTCTATATGTCGTCCGAATATTCTATACAGGATTAAAATAAATGAGCAAAGAATATCTTAAAGAATTCCTTAAAGAATTCCTCCAAGCGATAAATTATTTTCAAAGAGTGCATTCATACTAATTCCAACTTGTACTTAAAATTTAATTTATTCAAAACTTTGGAGTGAAATTAAAAATAATTTTCTTTAACTTGATATTAGATTTAATTTATTGATAGCATAGCTTAAGGTACAAGTGATAGCTTCAAGAAGGTCAATTTTAAAAGTTTAATGTAATATTTCGAAAAAATTTTGAAAACTTGGAAACTAAATTTTTCACTATAGAAATATGACGCTATAAGATGAAGATTAATTCGAGAATTGTCTGGATATAATCAAATAATTTTTACAGAAATAAGGCAAATTTTTACATTGATCACAATTTGCGATAAATCTGTATTTTACAAAACTTTCGCAAGTATCTAGTATATACATATTTTGGTTTTATTTTTTATTATGTAATACATAATGAATATTATCCCTGTTTTATTTTTTTATTCAAATTGCATAAATTAAATGCAATTTTATTTATTATAAATTAATATGAAAGTTTTATAAGTTATTATTATGAAAGTTTTTATTTCCAAAATTTTGTACTATACATTGGAAATTACATAAAATTTTAATAGCAGATGTACAGTGTAACTATATAGTTACAACCCCTTTACATTTACAACTTTTTAGACCTTGAACAAATAGAATTTTTACATACATGTACTTACGTATTTATAAATATAAAATTATGTCAATTTTTTTTTTTAATAATAATATAATTAAATTATATGATTTGATGGTATTAAAATTTTTTAAAACATGACATTTACCTATTAAATTATTATTTTTTTTTATCTAATTTAAATAGACACATACATACAATATTTAAAATTGCAAAATTACAAAA